ATAAAAATATAAATAATGAATGAACAGAAAATATATTTAATATTTTATTGTCAATGGATATGTTGCTAAATGACATTAAATGCTAAAAAACACAAATTGTCAAAAAAATTAAAATTTTCCGATAAAACTACTTAACATAAGAACAACAGCAAACAATGAATTAAATATACTGTATATAAAGCGTTATATAATTACACAAAACAATATAAACATAGAAAAAATAAAATTTACAATATTTTATTTAATATATAAAAACAATATAAACTTGAAATATAAAACCCATAAAATATATTGTATCCCTTATTTCAATATAAAAAGCATTTAAATATTGTAAACTCAAAACAAAATAATGGCTAATAATAAAACTGAATAATAAAAGCAAAATAGTAATAATAATAATAATACCCAAAAAATAAAAAGTAGAAATAATATAAATATTGGATCACCAAATAAGTAGAAGAAAATTTTACATGCTACTTTATTTTTATATAATACTTTTATGCGTAACTTTAATTATATGATAATCGCTTATTATTACACATAACTAGTAGCCTTTATATATAAAAATTTTTACTAAAATTCTTAAAGTATTAACACTAACTTATTTGATTAAAAACCAATTTTGAGTTTAACTGCATATTGTTGTAAAATTATATAATTGTACATCTGTAAAAATTTTTTTTATTAAGTTTACACTTTAAATACTAGAATGAGTATACATGTTAATTTTTAAAAATTCTTAAAGTTTGAAACGCAGAAAATATGGTTAAATTTTTTGACAAAAAAACTTATTATTCATATAATTACCGTTATATATATATTTTTTTATTTTACTATATGAAGTTAAGTACTGACAAGTCCATCACTAACCTTCATTATTACAAACATTTTATATTTACTTTGTAATAAATTTTACTTAAATAAAATTTATTGTAATTTTTAAATATTTTAGATTTTTCTTTCATAGTTTAAAGTAAATTGTCGCCGAATTTTAATCATTTGTATAATTTTTGACATGTAATACTACAAATGATATTACCATAAATTTTAAGTTTCTAAAAGTTATAGTTAATTTTTTTTCCTTTCAAATTTACAACTAAATGTGTTTCAAATAAATTATGTTAACATTTTTATAAAATAATTTTTTACTTTATACAAAATTCAATAATTAATAAATAAAATAAATACAATTTATTTACATTTTATAATTTGATATAATCATTATTCAAAAATAACGTTAACATATTTTCTTATTACTTATTTGCAATACTGAGAGTTGATTTTAAAATTATTAAAAATATTTTTGAATACATAAAACAGTATTGAATGCCAGAATATACTGTATATACTGTATATACCGTATATGTAATGAATGATTGTTTACGAAATAGATTGGATTACTTGTCTCAACAAATGGATTGAAACAGATCTCATTGTTGGCAATGATATATCTGCTAATACTTTAATACTAATGACAAAACCAATTTCCTTATAAGTATATATATATATATATATATATATATATATATAAATGAAAGACACAAATATAAATAGATATATAGAGATGCTGTGACTTAAATTGTATTATACAATACATTATATTTATATATATATTGAATAAAATTACATTAAATCTAATAATATCATTTTATAAATATAACTATTGTCTTAAAAGTCAATATATTTTTAATTATTTTTTTAAAATATAATAGATTTGTATATATATAATAATAATAATAGTAAGATTAATAACTATCATTAACAGTTTCCTACAAATATAAATAATAACAATAAATTCAGCTTTAAATTAACAGAAAACAAATAATAAAATATTAAATTATTTAAAAAATTTTATCATGTTTTAATTATTAATACAAAACAACTCATGTTATTAAATAAATCAATATAAATATATTTAATTTATAACTAAATTAAACATTAATAACTAAAAATGTACAGTACTTGTCGTTAATTAATATCATATTATAATAAATCGTAACATAAAATGTTTACTAAAAATTATTAATATCTTTCAAATTATATAATGTTTTGATCATTTATATAATTATGTTGTCATCTTTTAAGATATATTACGGTAAATGTATTTTTTGCATATTTTTATTTCTATTTACATAAATATATATAAAAATTTGTTGTAATGGTTATAACCAAAATTTCTGTTTTTGTTAATATATTTTCTTTATTGATAATTTATTTCTAGCATTAATAAAAACTTACCCAATGTTGAACTTATAAAAAAAATAAATTTAATTTTTAATAACTTTTTACGTTTATTAACATTTACATGAAATATATATACTGTATATACCACTGGTTATCATTCAAGTGATTTCTGATTACTTTTGATTAAAATGCACTGTCGAAGCTTATGGTTTATTATAATATATTTCATCTAGCTCAAATACACTGCTACATATTAATTTTAATTTAGTGGTATATTTTATTTAATATTATATAAAAAAGGTTATTAAATTTGTGTATTATAATTTTTTTGTTTTTTATCTTGGTCAGTTTTTTAAGTAAGGGACCGTATAATAATCGTGATATCGCCTGGTATATACAGTATATTATAGATCATATAACTTTTTTAACATAATAAATTTAATTAAAAAATTTTAATTGTCTATTATAATTTAAAAGTTATTATGTTTTAAAATTTAATCATCTGCAACTCAATATATTAAGTGTCATATTAGTATTATAACCATTTATATGACACATATTTTGATAATCTATGTAATTTATAAACTACTATAGTAGTATAATAAGGTAGTATAATAATATCACCTTGTTATTATCACAAGTTATTTATATCAATTAAATGTAAAAAATGCCTTTCATATAAAATTTTATTTTGATATAAATTATATCTAAAAATAATATAACTAAAGCAAAGCAATGAGCAAAACAAAAAATATTCAATCATTATTCAAATAAAAAGTATTATTAAATCAAAACAAAGTATAAACACAATATATTTGCTGTAAAAAAGTAGTAATGATTGTTAAGTTAAAAGTATAACAAGAGTGAGTGAGTCATGCATTTGATGGTTAGTCCCATATGAATGGCTAATACTGTATAAAGACAAACACTTTTTTCTTCATTTATTCAGTTGTATATAAAGAATAAAATATATGAGACAAGAGTTTAGACATAAGGAGAATAACTGTGTGTGTGTGTGTGTGTGTGTGTGTGTGTGTGTGTGTGTGTGAGAGAGAGAGAGAGAGAGAGAGAGAGAGAGAGAGCTAACCATTCAAATAAATAGTTATTCTTCTGATGCGGAGATAGACATAAGTTCTTGTTATTGATTTCTGTGTTGGGTTTAAAGTAAAACACATTAATAACAAAATAAACGCTAAGACATAGCAAAACAAATGGTAATGCCGTTTGAGGAGGCAATGGATGCAATGGATTGCCATTAAAAAAGTGCTACAAAAAAGTTTTTTGTATTGTATGGCAACATATTATGGTCTTATAGTTTAAGAATAAGAAGAGCGAGAAATAGCCTATTCTTGTGTTTTGTCTGTATTGACATTCCGTTCAAACAATAATCTTAATGTCAGACCAATGCGCACAACCATTCAATCGATCCCTTCTCTGACACATAACATTCAATGGGCTACTGATGCTCGACTCRTGTATGAATGGTAGGCTAGTTGTGTGTCATAAATACAACAAAGTCATAGAAAATATATAAGAAGCCAACGGTTCCGAATGGGATCCAATCAGATGAGACACATATGCGCTAACTGTACAGTAATACAGTACTTATATAACTGTATAACACATCAAAAGTATATAATTAAATGTTTGCTTTCAACACATGCATCACAAACATTAAGACATAGGATTAATATACAACAACTTCTTTTTAACATTAATTTCTACTAAATAATGTTATATAGAAATGCAATAATAAAGTTACCAAAAAATATTGTATTGGTATTTACAATAAATACGGGAATTACAGCATTCAAGTAGACAATAAATTTGAGATTATATCATAATTTCGACTAAAAATTATAGTGTTTTCATACGATAAGTAGTAAATATCAGTATATAAGCAAAAAGTAATTTAAAATTTTTAAAAATACTCTCACATAATATAAGTTATAAACCATATTTATCGTACATATATTGTGTATATATCATTGTCATCATATAATGGTCATCTAAAATATAAATTTGCAAAAATGTTTTGTATTTTGTATGCTTCTCTGTATTTTCACTCAAATATATGATATAAATTAAGCCCTTAGTATTCAATGGGATGAGATATAGTATGTAGTTATTGATCGAAAAAAGTTAAATTCACTTTTTTCTTTATATATTCATAAAAGATCGCTGATGTTATATTATATGCGATATATTGCATATATTCACCACAAATGTTATATCAAATGAAAAAATAGTAGCAATTTATATAAGCTTAGTATATATTGCGGTTACAATATAGAGAAAATAATCTTTCAATTTATTAGACGCTGAGATTCATTTTAAATTATATTATATAATACTACAGTACAGTATATACAATATAGTATAACAGTATTCACATTTTTCTTTTTATATATTTTAGCATATTTTATTATAAATACTTAAAATTATAAAACATATACCGGCATACTTAATGTAAGTGATAAAAAATATTGTTAACAATAATTTTAACATAGATTTCCGCTAATTGACAATCAATTGTAATTAAGCAATAATTAATTGTGTGATCAAACTGGCACTACAACCAATAAAACACGAATACAACTTATAGTAAATATACAGTATATCAATGAATTGCACTAACAATGCGGTGAAGTACTGGTACTGTATATATGATTATATGAGAAACAAATTGAAAAAAAACAAAACTCAATCTAATAAACATTTGTTGTGTCGATGTCTGTGTTTGAACTCAATTTAATTAAAACACTAATTACCTATAATTGATTACAAGTGAAATAAATATAAATAAATAGACATACCTTGGATTACCCCGAAGTGCCGCGTGATGTAAGGCATTAAAACCATTATTATTAGTTAGGGTGATATCGGCGTTGTTGTCGAGCAATAGAGACAGCATATCATCGCGTTTTTTACTAATCGAGTCATGTATTGGTGTATCCCCTTCACAGTCCTATTCAATAAAAATTATTACATTTGAAAAATATCTGTTTATTTGTTCAAACCCCCCCCCCCACACACACACACACATACACACTACCGGCACTATGGGCATCAGTTTTGTGATCAATGACTTACCTGTAAGCTTGCATGACATCCCAATTCCAACAATGTCTTAACTACATGAACGTGACCTTTATTGACAGCTATATAGAAATTTATAAATAAATATCAATAAATAAAATTCAATTTATTTATTGTCTGTTATTAAATACCTATATGTAATGGTGTTTGTCTTCTTTTATTTCTTGCATTGAGATCAGTTCCTGCCTGTGCTAATGAAGTGATAACTCCAGGTTCATCACCAAAAGCCGCGTGATGTACGGCTCGATCGCCATCTTTGTCCTCAATCTCGACATTTGCATTATATCTGAGAAGTACTTTAATGACCTCTGAGTGTCCATTTTGCGAAGCGGCCTGAAGTGCTGTATGACTTGCAAACACACCGTTAACATCGATGTCCATTCTTTTTAGTATTTCTTCACAATTCTGGATGTTTCCATTGGCCGCTGCTTTTACTAATTCTTCGTTTGGTTCCCCAGAAACATGCGATTCAAATAACTTCTTTAAGATAGTACTCAATCCTTCTCCAGACGCACTAACAACTGATCCATCATTAGATACTTTGGCGACTGCAGCCGGATTATATGTCCAGGAAGTACCACAAACATCCACTTTTAAATCATTGTCGTGATATATTTGCTGAACGCGTCCTATTTTACCTAATGTTGGTGCCATTGCTTCAGCAAACTCTCCGTGACCTTAAGAAAATCAGTAATTATTTTATCAAATTATAGTTTCACACAATATTTAAAATAAATATTCAAACCTTTTTGTAAAATTTTAATTCTTTCGAGATCTGAACAAATTTGAACCAAATCTCCCACAGAAAACTGTATGTTTGATGTATTAGATGTTGAAGCAGTGGCTACCTGTGTGCCCGAACCACTAGCAGTCACACTATTACTTACTGGTGAAACTCCAGATGCAATATTAAGGTTAGGGTTCATTTGTGATGACAAAGCATTACTATTTGAACCAACACGTGTAAGAACGGCCGGATTGAATGTCCACTTATTAGTACTCGGATAGAGAACAACAATATCATGGTCTTCATCAATGCCGACAACAGTTCCAGTTGTACCCAAGCATTCAAACATGCCTTCAGTCCAACCTCCGTGTCCGTGTTGTAAAGACTGTACAATTTCTAGATCCAGGTCTACATTAACCAGATCTCCAATTTGAAATCCATGAACACTAGAACGTCCGGCACCTAATTCTCCAAGAAGTGGTAAATGATCCTTATATACAGTATGTCCTTTAACATCACTAACTACTTTTAAATCAGCCATTCCCTCAAATCCAACTCTATAAAGATTTTTGGCGCCGTTATCCCAAATAACATAAGCAGCACTTCGAGGACTGGTTGCACTCCAATCCTGGATTTCAGTAACTTTTCCTCGTTTACCATTTCCTCCGTCCTGTTTAACAAACAACAACTTAGTTATAATATAATTATAACAATAAAATATAACAATAAAATACCTGATCTTCCCATTGCCAGTCAACACCTGTTAATTTAAATCATATATAAGTACAGGTAATCAAATTAAGTAAAAAATATGACTAACCCCTGACAACTCTAGCGCCGGGAAATATGCCCTTCACTGCAATCTTCTTGCCCTTCCTTCGAGGCTCTATAAGAACCCTTTCATTTCCGGGATTAAGGATTCGATAGAAACGGTGTCTTAAGTTATGTTTATCCGAATGATAGCAAAGAGAGCACAAGTCGTAGTTCGGACATTCGGCACATTTCCAGCGGATCCCAAATATAGGCGACTGTTTACAGAAGTCACACATCGCTCCTTCGTGTTTGACACCTRTTGGTCGGACATTAAAATAATTATCAATAAAAGTAATTAATGAATTCATTTAATAATATTATCAATCAACAGACCAGTGGGTGCGCTGTCAGCTATCCTCAGATCATAAGCACCTAAACATCTATAGTTAGCAGCCGTTCCGTTATCCCATACGACTACTACTTCTTCAGCCGATTCAAAATTACGAACTGTTCCCAAATGTCCTTCACCGCCATCCTATATATACAATCATATAATCATATCATTCAAAACAATTGATCCCAAACCTACCTGTTTAGCCCATTTCCAATCGTTTGAGTTTCTCATAACTCTGGCGCCGACACCGCCTTCAATACCAACATTTCGAGGGCCGGTATGTGTCGACCCATAGATACCACTTGTGGTCAACAATGTTCGGGTATTACCGGCGGCCACATTGTCATCATTTAGAGGCGTTATATTGAGATTCATGTCATTCATTGCCATCTTATCGGATCATATGTCCAGACCTAATGTATGTCCACTTTTATTATCATATATTTCAGTCAATAAACTTCACTGACCTTTAAATCGGTACTAATTTGTTGTATATTTTAATCGGTTATAAAAATAATATTTAATTCAAAAAGTTATTTCATAAATAAAACATAATATTATTTATTAGTTAACAACTAATTGTTAATAAAATTAAAGATTTATTTATAAATATATTTCAATTATATAACAAATATAACAATCATTTAAACTGACAATTGATTGATTGAATCAAAATTATAAAAATAAATAATTTATCGCAAGTTATATAATGTTGTTATAAATAAATACAAATACTCTAAACAACTAATAATTGCATTCAATTATATTTGAGTCAACACCTCTAGCTTTTAGTAATAGACGACAGTAAAGACCTATAAAATATAAAATAATAATAATAATACTGTATTTATATTACATTATTATCACTGTTAGACATATAGGCTATAGATATATCATAATCAGGGTTTTAAGAAAATAAAAGCCTGCCCTGGCAATGCCCAAATAGATGCCATAAATGCCTGGCATTTTGGGCATCTATTTTATTTGCCTGCCAATTTAAATTGCTAAAAAGCAATTATATTTATAAAAATAATGTAATTTAATGTTTTAACGTGTTAATTAAATTTACAATTAATTTACTTATTTCCAATTATATTACCTTTTAATTAAAGGTATACAAAACAAAAATACAAGCAAATATATTATAAAAACAATGTTTTATAAATTAATTAATAATATAAAATTAAAATAATAGGTGTCACCACATGAAAATAGATGCCCAGTGCATGGCAGAGGCAGGGCAGGCATTTGGCAAAATTGGCATCTATTGTTTATGCCTGCCATTTTTAAAACCCTGATCATAATAGAGTTATAGTAAAGTAGAGTATAGAGTATACTATAGAGTCCACAACTTATATTATATTTAGAGTTATATAAGAGAATAATTACATATATTATAAAAGATATAAAAATAAAACAAATTTTCATAAATAATATTATTAATAAATTGATATATATATATATATATACCTGTATATATATTAACTAACACAATTAGTAGTTATTAAAAACAAAAATTATCAAAAAATAATAATAAAATTATTCAATTGTTCAATCATTGTTCAATTACTGAATTTTTTTTATGTGTATTAAATGCTTTTTCCCAAAGTAGGGGTTAAGAAAATATTGGAAATTAATATTTTAATTGATATATTTTAATATATTTTATAATTTTACATAAATATATTAAATTTTAGATCAATTGGACCAATAATTTTATAGTTATTAAATAAAATAAATTTTGATTATAATGGGAGGCATACAAAAAAATCAAACTTTAACCCCGGATCAGATCCACACTTACCTAAAAACATCTACAGTATTGATAATTATAATATCACAAAAAATTGATGACAATTGATCCCAGGGACGGGTGTTTTTTGGGGGTCAAAGTTTGATTTTTTGTATGCCTCCCATTATAATCAAAATTTATTTTATTTAATAACTATAAAAATATTGATCCGATTGATCTAAAATTATATTATATATTAAAATATTAATTTCCAAAATTTGCTTAATCGCGCATGCTACTTTATCATTTTATTAACTGCTCTATTGGTTGATCCCAATATCTATATGTAAAGTGTAATACTCATTATTATTATTACTGTATTATTATTATTATACTGTATATAATCCGTATATAACTTAGTGCTACATATAGTGTGATTAACCAAATAGAGGATATGGGAAAAGTGTAAGTGAGAGGAAAGCATTTAATAAATAAAAAGATTTCTGTCATATATTTCTCAATAACATTGAAATAAATAAATTTATAGTTTGCCAAACAAAAATTTAAAAAATTAATATTATATATTGTATTTTTTTTAGTAATTACTAATTAGTTTAATTTTATTTTCATCGATTTATTATTAAATTTATATTTAAATGATAAGTTATTTATTAAAATTTGTTTAATTTCTATAATTTAAATATTTTATACTCTAAATATAATATAATTTGGTCACTCTAGTTTTCATACTCTATGAACTATGATTTAAACCTATCTATTATATGATAGATCTATAGTAGCACTAAGTTTTAAAGTGTTATACAATACTAATATAATTGAAAAATATACGTAATTTATGTATAATTGACTAGACTTTCACTATTACTGTATTTTAAAGCTATAATAATATCTAAAAATTCAATTGTATTATACCTTAGAGTACTTTATGTGTCTATAAATGTATAATTATTTTAGAATACCTGCACTTCTATACTATTATTACAATACTATCGACGATATGTTCATAATATTATTGAATACCTTTTAATGATATTTTCAATGACTTATATACAGTATATCTATATATATATAACTAATTGTTATTTATGTCATCAATAAATATATATATTATTTATATATTATTTTAGTAAATAACGATAATTTGTTTGTTTTTAGTATATTATTGAAAATCATTGATTATTATTTCAAACAAGTGTTACATAATTATTGATAAATCAATAGTAAATTATTAATTATTTTTGATATCAAAAACTGATGGCAACGGCCCTTAAGAGACAACAATCTCGAAGAAGATTAGCGGCCATTACTTTCTTGTCTAATATATCACTGGATGGCACACATCGGGACACAAAAATTGGATCAGTCTTTCCACATGTCTTTCACTTGTAATTATTATTTATAAATATTTTCGATGTATTTTTGATTAACAATTTTTTCTCACAAATTACTAAAAAAAATTATATTAATATTTGAATTTATATTTATAATTGTAATACTACTGTATATGATATCCTAATTATAAAAAAATTATTTTCTAAATATTAATCGCTTTATCACTCTTTATAATCATAGGTTATCATCAATATCTCCATAAAATAGGAAATTAAAAAAACTACTTTTTTTTATCTATTATTTATTTGGAAAAAATTAATATCTAACCAAATCATAAAAATTATAGACAAATGAGATCATAATATATGACTATAAGTTATAGTTTTGTATATTTTGTACATTAGTCACAAATATATAGTATTTAAAGGAAAATGCATAAAAAATAATAGAAAAATCTAAATAATTTCATAATAAACACGATTTTTAAATTTAATATTTTCTCAAAAAAAATTATCACATGAAATGAATAATTGTTTATATTCTACAATAGAATATACAGTTTATATAAAATCTAAACGACTGTATATTCATAGTAAATATAGTTTTGTAAAATATAACGTAACGCTTAMTATATATGATATTAGAATTTATAAAATTGTTTTTAAAAATCTATAGATAAAATATTTTATATTTTCTGAATTAATTTAAAACTAATTTAAATGATTCCATGAAAATCAAATAATAAATGAAAAATAGATATTTTTAGTWATAGTTTTATTACTTGTATTTTCCTAGAAATTGCAATTTTAAATCCTATTTTATGGAGTTACTAGTTATCACTTATTTGTATGCTATTTATTGCTTTGTGTAAGATATACACTGTGTATAGACTTATGTATTACTTTTATAAATATGATATTTCATTGAAATTCAAATAAAATGTGTATATATTTGTGACAATTTTTGTGTATTATATTTTTATATTATTATTATTACAAGATTATAATAACGACAAACATACTTAAAAAGATATTAATATTATGTAATTTAAATTAACAAAATTGAATAATCACTTTGTATTTTATTCTATAAATATAATTAAGATATTAATTAATTAGTTATATAAAAACATGTATTACTAAATTGTTTTATCAACATAATTAAACTTAAACATAATATAATATAATTGCTATGATATTTTTAATAAATTAGTTTAGTAGCCAAACATTATTATATGATTCATTGTATTTATGTATAAGTTTTATCATAGTATTTGTTTAATACAAATGATTTTAAATATTAAATTTAACACCTATTTTAAAATTGTGTTATTCAGTAATCATATTCCAATTTAACATCAAAATTAATATTTTGTTGTTTTATTAAGATATTAAATTTTGTTTATCTTTTTTAAATAAACTATTTTAATGATTAAGTATTGCTATAGAATATAATACTTTAAAAGAATTTCACATATAATATCAATTATCACAACTATTTTAAATATTAAACAAATAAAACTAAAATAAATGTACAAATGTTTTAATTGTTAATTTATTATAAATTTATATTAACTAAATTTAATAAGTTTTGTTTGACAAAATTGAAATCATATATTGTATACAGAAATACAGTTTTATAGTTTAATATTAATAGAATATAATACAAAATATTAATATTAATTCATTATTTATTCTAAAATAAGAATCTAATGTTATATATGAGGAAAAATAAGTCTAATATAAATTATAATGATTTATAGATAAATTACATTTTGTTTTTTAAATTATTGTCAATTCATTACAAATTAGACATTTATTAAAATTAAAAAATGTTTTTYAATAAAAATGAATTAAATCATCAAAATTTAGTTACAATTATAATCATTAATTTACAAAATTTTTGTACATGAAAATATTAACAAACTATAAAATACTAAAAATTGAGAAATTATTAGTTATAGGAAAGTAATAAAAGGATAACTAAAAATAGAGAGAGTCTTAAACAGCGTTAATGCTATTAATTACAATTATCTGATCAATAATAAGTTGGATTTAAAAGTGACCAAGGGCAATGTTGTAGATAATTTTAAAATAAATAAGATTGTAGTTGGCCATTTTTTTAATTAATTGTATGTTTGACCAGATAATATACAGTCAACTGTTAAAAAATTGTAAAAATTATAGTCGACTGCAATTATCTGCCCAATCATATAATTAATTAAAAAATGACCAATTACAATCTTAATTATTTTAAAATTATCTACAACTATGCCCTTGGTCACTTATAACTCCAATATATTGTTGACCAGATAACTAAAATTAATAGCATCGCCGCTATGATCTCCGTCGCCGATGTTTAAGACTGACTAAAATAACAATTTTTCTAATCGTAAAATAAAACTAAAATATTCATTACATTAAATTATTATAGGTTTTCATTATTTTATTATTTTATTTATTGTATTGTCTCTTATTTTTTATCCATAATATCAATTTGTACTGAACTTTGAGGCAATATAGTAGAAAAATGACTTCCGGTAATCATATTTTAATTATATATCTAATTATTTAAATTAATATCATATTAATATTTATTTATATTAAATATGTTATTGTTATTAGTATAGTGAAAAAAATATTACTCATATCATTATTTTAAAAAATATGATGATTTAAAGTTTGTAAATAAAAACTTATTTTTTCCTGTTATTTGATTCTTCAATGTTATGAGAAAAGTTTGATTAAATTTTATAAACAGCAGTTCAATATTCTGACAAATAAATAAAAAATAAGAAAAATTATTTAGTAGTTTAAATTGGTTTTAATTTAAATCATTTTTATATTTATTTGTAGTTTATTTATAAATTTTTAATATTTATATACCGGTAGTATATACTGAATAATACATACTTGTACTGTAAGATAAAAATTAAATTTTAATGTAAAATTTTAAACATATAATAATTATTGATAAAATTTATATTTGCATCACTTATGTTGACTTCTAGATTATAGTAAATTTATCAGAAAATGTCATTTTTAACAAAATACTACATTAAATATTCTGATAATCAAATTCTGTTATTAATAAAAGTATCATTTGATTGATATATTTTTTAGTATTTATATTGAATAATATAAACTAAAAATTTAATTTAATATATTCAAAAATAAAAAATGAATTTATTTCTAAAACTTAATTAAATATTAATTAATTTTTTTTTGTAAAATTGAAATTTTAGTTCACTTTATGAATCACATCCTCGAAAATCGTCGTTTGGAAGCATTAAGAGAAGTCGCGAACGGAAGGAAAAGACTTATGGAAGCAATGAAAGCATTGGTTGAAATGATTATGAAATGCATTTGAAAGTCAAAAGACATTAATAATAAATTATATCTATATTTTCCGATTGACTTATCAGGTAATTCATTGAATGGCAGAGCGCGGACTACATCTAGCAGTTCATACACCAGTAGCACAAATGGTCAGTCGGGTCCACAAGAGTTATGCTTTTTGAAAGCACCAAAAGACCATCTTTTGAGAGATGAGCGCATTGTGTTTGTTTCGGGCAAAAGGGCGCCAATCGCTATATTTTCGGCACTTCCGCATACAAGACGTGCCATTCATAGTGTCCTTAGGTTTTGTCATAATTTTTAATTAAATATTTTATATATTTTCATACAATTTATTTAATAATCAAAGAATAAATTTTCTCATGGATTGCAAATAGAATTTAAAATAAATCTTAACTATTATTTAAATACGATATTAAAATAACTAATATATAGCTAATAACAATATTTATTAGTAATTATATTGTTTTTATTTTATTTGTAGAAGTGATACAAATAAAGATTTAAGTAAAAGACGTCACGCATCGGGCAGTTGCCAGTTGTCAACGATTAGTGATGGTTTTGATCCGTTAGATATGTTGACACTAATGGGTTTCGATCCATCTATTGAAGGACAAGACGTGTCCTTTAGTGAGTTATTGAATAGCAGTTCCAGTCAGAAGCGTATGAAGACGTCTAATATTTATCCAATGAATGAGACACAAGTGTACAATCATAACGTGATTACACGTGTTATATCTCATGAATCAGCGATCAAGAATCAGATGAATTTGACACAAATACATAACAACAACAACAATGTCGACAATACCAATACATTTGATGAGAAGCGTCAGATTCTGCATCAGATATATAGCAATCAGAATGTTGTTTATCACCCAAACCTATTGGACGATCCGGAACTCATTGCTGGCAAACACAGCACTCTTCTGGCGTTTCCATCATTTGTTGTTAGTTTTGTCAATAAATTTATATATTTGTTATATTTGTTTAATCAAATAAACATAATGTTGTGCTTATTTAAAAAAAAATATTTGTTTAATAATTTTTAATATTATATTTTTATATATAATAGTTTTATTTTTTAAGTATTTATAACCCCTTAAAGCAAATTGATTTATATAAAATTATTTTATCTTAATTGCAAATAGACATCGATTATTGATTACGTGAAGCCAACTGACCTTAAGAAAGAACTCAACGATAAATTTAAGGAAAGGTTTCCACACATTCATCTCACTCTAAGCAAACTCAGGAGTTTAAAGAAAGAGATGTCTAAAATTGCCAGACATGAGGTATTAATAATATTTTTTACATAAAATACTATAATTTTTGTCAATTTAGAAATTTATAGTTTGTTTAGACAAAAATAATGAAATTTTATTTAATTATTCTGTAGTCTACTGTATATATCATTAGGGTTAAGTAAGGGGGGGTAGGGGGTAAGGCCAAAATACCCCCCCTAAGATCGAGAAATTGGGATTTTACCCCCCAGACTTTTTGACCAAATTGAAAAAATTGTCGCTTAAAAACGAGGAGAAATGACCCCACCCTAAAATTTCGGCGCCGAAGGCGCGAAAATTTTTTTGAAATTTATAAAAATTTTAATTTTAGTTGATACTATTTTAGTAAGTGTTTTTATGTTTTTAATATTTATAAAAATCTAATTATTGATTAAAAATAGTTAAAATAACGTTAAAAGTCATCAAAAAATAAAATTATTTTAATTAAAATAAACTAAAAAATTAAAAATTACCTATTTGTTGAAAAGAGTAATCATATTACAATTTAAATATAAGTTTAAGAAGTTAATAAAACAATAAATACCTGTTTTTATTAATAATTTTTAAATTTTAAATAAAAAATTTAAAAATATTTTCAATTTTGTACTTAATATAATTAAACTTTAACGAAATTTGAGTTAAATAAGTAGTATTCAGTCAGTATTTGTATAAAAATAAAAATATATAACAAACTATAAACATTAAGTATTGTTTAAAAAATTAATTATGTTAAGTTAAAAATTATTAAAATACTAAAAATAACTCATAGTGTATCATTAATGCTTTTATCAACTATTTTTAAATCTTAAATAAATTATTTTATTTTTTTGTTAAAATTTAAGTTTTTATTAATTTTTAAAAATTTTTTTAAAAAATATTTATTTTTTGTTAAAATTTAAGTTTTTGTTAATTTTTAAGTTTTTTTTATATTTTTGGAAATTTTACCTATTTTCCCGGGAATTTATACGGGAACTTGTGGGAATTTTATTGAATTTACATGGGAATATTCGGGAACTTAAGGAATTTTTAGGGAATTTTCTCTAGACCCCCCCATTGATTTTGGATTTTTGAAAAAAATTGCCGTTTAAAAATGCAATAAAAATCTTACCCCACCCAATACCCCCCCAAGATTTTTTGAGAATTTTGTAAATTTTACCCCGGTCTACCCCCCCCCCCCCCCTAAAATCCAAAACCTTGCTTAACCCTGATATCATTACATTCTGTTATTTGTCTATTTTTGGTATTTTATAGATATTGTTGAATAAAATTCATTATTAAAGTCAAATATCATTATAATTTTAATGGAGTTAATATATTTTTTCTTTTCTTTTATAAATTTTTGTTTAATTTAATTTTTATATTTGAATGTGTGTTGACTTAAATCAATTTGAATACATAAAATTGGTGACAAAAATATTAAAAAAGATTAAAAATAATTTTGATGTTCAATTTCTTTATATATTTATTTTCTATAAAATCTMTTTCTAATAATTTTATTATTGATTTATATTATATTATTTAAAAATTGTTTAATTAAGAAATAAAGTAAAAGTTTGTCTCATTTTTAGTGTGGAATCGATTTTCTGACTATAGCTCAGGCATACGTCTACTTCGAGAAACTGATACTCAAGTCATTGATTACTAAACCAAATCGTAAACTATGTGCCGGCGCTTGTCTTATATTATCTGCCAAATTAAATGATGTTAAAGGAACTGATCTTAAGATATTGATTGAGGTATTTCAACAAAATAATATCTAAAACTAATTAAATAAAACAAATAATGCAAACAAATATAAATAATTTTTATGATTTATTATTGTTTTAAATGACAAAAATATAAATTTAATATTTGAATAAAAATATATAATATATTGTTTTATAAATGAATTACAGAGAATAGAGTCGGGCTTTCGTTTGAACCGAAAAGAGTTGATATCAATGGAGTTCTCAGTATTGGTTGCGTTAGAGTTTTCTCTTCATTTGCCGAATTGGCAAATCATTCCTCACTTTCAACGTCTTCTCTATGAATCTTAGTTTTAATGTCATCCATAGTATCAATACATTTGTTTGAATAACTTAAATTATTATTATTATTATTATTATTATATACTACAAGTACAGTACATAAAAACATGGCATTATTAATTATATATTGCTATTTCAGTGCTAAATATATATCAAATATTTTGATTTAATGTTTTTAAAGTGTCGGATCACATCAATGTGCTATATGTCCGCTTAAGACCTGTATTACGGGTGACCATTGATGCCAAATGAAGGTAATAAATAAAGAAAAAAGTTTATTATAATATATTTAAATAATTTGTCTCTATTTCTGACTATTTTTTATAACAATAATCATTTCAAAAATAATTTTTAATACAATATAGTCAGTGATGTGCAATATAATAGTCATAATATAATAGTCATATACATAATCTACAGTATTATATAATAGTCATATAAAAATTATTGATATATATCATTACAAAATCAGAGCGCAATCAACGTTAATTATAAACTATCAATTATTTATGTAAATGTATTAAAAAATATATTTATATATTTTGAAACAGATTATTTTGTTAATTATTTAATAAATGAACAAAATAATTTATTATATTTAACAGTATACACATTTAACACTTATAAAAAACAATATTTTTGATGAATCTTTTATTATAATTATAAATCATTTTTAAAATGAATTTTTGTGTAATTTTATTTATTTATATTTAATAACTATCCATTTTTGTCTAATTATATATTTGTTTTTTAATTTTTATCTATATTATATAATTTTTCGCAACTTATAAAAATTTATTAATGGTTTAAGCGTTTTATTACTAAAATTTAAAAAAATAAACCCAAATAATTTAATACAATTTAATTATATACAGTATATATTATATAAACTTGTTGACACAATAAATATTAAGATACTTATTTAAAGATAGAATTTTGTAAATGTTATATAATATTAAATAATATTTTATTAAATTGTTAAGAAAAAATAATAAAATAATTTTATTTGACAAATAATTATTTATCTTATTTAAAAACAAGATTTATAAATTAACCTACCCCCCCCCCTTTAGCAACCCTGATTTAAATTAACAAACTTAACTAATATATAATTTATATATCGTTATAAAAGATTAAAATTATAAATATTTAGAATTGCATTAATTTTATTGATAATATTTTTTAATCGAATCATATCTGATATATAATAAATGTATTTAAGTACCAATTGGTATAATATTTATTTATGTATACACTATGCAAATGCAAAAATGTGTTATATGTACAGTATATACAGTATATAGTAAATTACTAATTAAGTAATATTGATAAAAATATAAATTATTATTATTTATATTTATACATAATATTTAAAGCTTTAATTAAAAATTATAATAATTTTATATAAATTATTCGATTATAATTAAGGTTTTCACTTTAATAATCAAGGTCTATAAGGTTATGTTAAGTGTCAAGTTTAATGATAATAATTACTTAATAATTAATAGTAATGATCATTAATTATGCTGTTTTGTAATTTTGTAATTAATTTAATTAAAATTGCGATTTAAGTAAATGAGTTTAAAAGTCAAAATTACATGATAATAAATTATTTTAAAAATTGATATTTAATTGACAAAATTAATTTTTAGTTTTTGTCAATTTTTTTAATTATAGAAATCAAAGTTATTAACGTTATTTAATTTTTCAATATTAATTATATTACATCAGATAATTATTGGAAATATAAGCTTTCATTTTGATCTAATAAATTATTTTTAAAATCCAGACATTATATGATACAGTACAACCTCTCTATCGGAAACTTAGAATTTTATTAAAATTCCGGATTCCAGATATATATGAAATGATGGCTCTATTTATGTTATAGAACTTAAATTTTTAATTATTAATAAACTATAATAGAAAATATTTTGTATTAAAATTGAAAACTACATTAAGACAAAATTTAATAAAATTAATTTTGACATTTCAATATTGATATATTAAAACAGATATTGTATTAAACAGTATATACATTATATAAATTAATAATTTATGACTATATAACTTATATAATATAACTACAGTATAATTTTGACATTTATAATAAACTATGATTATCTTAAATAATATCTTTTATCATAAATAAGGAAAGTTTTTGATTGATTGATGAACTTAATAAAAAAAACGTTTAATTCAGATTTGCTATTTTATAACAGTATTATAAAACAACTTTATATTTCTATAATATTAACTATTTTTAAAAATAATTTAATATCTAAAAGTTAACTGTAAAAGTGATAAATATTTTTAAAATATTCAATAATTTATGATTAACATATTATAAAATTTAATCTATAAATGTGAGACAATCAATATATGTATTACTAAACAATAAAATGGTAAGTCACATTTAAAAAAAAATAACATTATATAATAAATATGGTAACAGTATTCATAGTATTTTTGCTAAACTTGATTATCTACTACAGTATTATAAAAGTTAAGTCAATATTATAAAAGTTTGATATATTCAATATTGTATATAAAATAATGAGTTTAAGTGAAAAATGAGACTTTGTTTTGAAGGATAAATAAGTTTCAGACAAAACATCCATTAATCACACAAATGACAGAATCAATAGTTTTTATTGATTTAATATAATAATAAAGTACTGTATATTTTGTATGTCTGGTAATAATGCAATCAACATATCATTAATGGTTATGAGTTCGATCCCAAAGTAACTATCATTAAACAGATTACTTAAATAATCTAATTTAAAATAAAATTTTAATTTTAATTCGTATTATATTATATGCAAGAAATTGCTTATCAGTTGACAAAATTGTTGTGAATAAATCTCATAATTAATACATAAATACAATTTTAAATTAATATAAATGTTAGAGATTTTTAAATTTTATAATTCCCATTTTATTATATTAGGAARATAATCTGAAAAATAAAAATTTAATATCATAAATTTATTTTTGTCAAATATTTGAAAAATTATTACTTAAAATGTAATATAAGCTTATTTCCCATCCAATACCAATTTTTTTWAAATTATTAATTATTAACTAAACATAGAATTAAAAACTAATACCAAACGACAATTAAGTTTATATTAAGTTTATAAACTTATTTAAAAAACACTACAAATCTAATAATTTATTGTTTTTTAATTGTGATAAGTATAGCATTTAAATCATGATAAAAATTTTGGTACTAATTTAGTGCTAAATTACATGAATAATAAATTATAATTGTCTCATATGATGACTATTTTGTTAACCAATATTTTTCTATAGATTGTAAATGAGAAGCAATTTCTTGTGACTAAAGATCTGATTCAATCAATCAAATCAATTCATCAAAACAATGAAGTAATAAATATACAGTATATCATAGTTTAATATTTCTTAATATTAAAATTATTGTAAAACAATTGCAACAAAACTCAAAATTACTCATAATTTTATAGAATTATGAATTTACTATAACTGTAACAAACATTATTTAATAACTATTTAAACAATTTATATTTATAAATATTAATTTATATTTACTATACAAATGAATTAAATTCTAATTTTTATAATTTAAAGATAACTTTGTTATATTGTATTGTTAGTTAAMATAAATTATTTTTTAAATGATAATAATACTAAATAATTTGGTTAAATCATATTTTTTAATTTTGAGTTATTAGAAATAAATATTAGTTGAAAATATAATTCAAACAAATTCCTGAAAACATAAAACTCTAAATTGATATATTATAAATAATATTGATTCAATAGTATATGAAAAATGACAATTAAATAATTAGTAATAATTATACTATTTTAACAAAATGCAAACAATACAAGAAAATATGTGAAATCAATCCAAATAATCATTTTTTAAAATTTGAGTTTTAATTTATGTATTAAATTAAATATATTTATCTCCCGATTCCCAACCGATTATAACTTTATTAGTTATCGATTGTAAAATATAAATTGCATACTATATTAAATGGTAAATATATATTAAATCTAATTTTATATCGTATAATAATTTCTGGAAATGTTTTGCATATTTGCTATTTTCAGTACTTTGCAAATAATTACAGTAAAATGTGTTTTCATTTTATTAATATAAAGGAAACAATTTTGTCTCAAATATAATTACTGGTATTTATCACAACTACAATAATAGACAAAAAATGTCCACTCATTTTGTGAATAATACTATAGTTTTGTTAAATAAATTCAATATTACAGTACATTGAGTACAACTATATAATCTAATTTGTTAATTATTGGTAGTCTATTTTCTTAACCATTTTTTTATTGGTTTAATTATATTTAAAAATTGGGAATTTTATTAAATGATGTATATTTTGCATGAATTTAGGAAAAACAAGACAAAAGACAATCAATTACTTATTACATCCAATAAACTAATAAAAATGTCTACAAATGTTTAAATTGTGAATAAAATACAGGTTTTTGTTTCTCATGTTTTATAATAATTATTGAAAAATTAGTTAATTTTTTTCTTTGTGTTTATCTTATATGCAAAGGGAAAGGTAGAGACACAGTCGATAAAATCAAATTTTATTMAATAATTATCAATAAAGTAGTAGTTGTTGTTGTTGTTAGTGATTTGATGTTTACAACTATGTCTTAAAACTTTAATATTGGATTTTTATTAATTGTTTCACTAGTTTTTAGATATAATTAATTGATATAAAAGGTTTTGAAATAATTAGAAATAAGAAGACATTTTCGCAATATTTATGTATTACACGATCCGATAGTTTGTCATATCGTTTACTCGAGTCTTAAGAGCTCCACATCAAAGGTAAGGGTAGAGTTGGGAGGAATCACACCGGGATGTCCTTTACTGCCATAAGCAAAGTCGGGAGAACACACCAGTCTTGCCCTTTGACCCACAGACATCTATATAAAGTTATCAATGGATCACTATATCTTCATTATATCCATTTAACAAACCTGTGCCACACCGACATCCCAGCCCTTAATGACCTCTCCTTTGCCGATCTTAAACTTGAAAGGCTTTCCTCTGTCTCGCGATGAATCAAATTTTGATCCGTCATTCAAAGTGCCTTAAAATTATAAACCGTTTCATTGATAACTTAAGTACTGATACTTTCATTACTAAAATAAATCATTGCATACCTGTGTAGTGAACGACAACTGTTTGGCCTGTCTTCGGGTAAGTCGACCCTATTATTGGTGTCAATCAATGTATTAAAAAAATAGTTTTATATGTCGTATGATATGATATTTCATTAAATTATCAGATTTGTAGTCAAATATTGCATTAATTGTTTTGAATTCAATTATCAATAAAATCAATAAAATGAATATTAGATATAATATGCTTTAAGACATTTTAAATCAATTATTGATTAACTGATCCAATGTTATAGTTATCACATTAAACACCAATAAGATTAATATCAAGACATACCGTCTCCCTCTTGAATGGTCTGCACCTCAACACCCATATTGTCTGAAACGGCAATCGATGGCAACAAATGTCTTCAATAGTAGTGTCGGTGTGTTTGAGGCCAACAATGACTTCAATAGTCAATACAATGAAAGCAATGAATCGCTTCAACAGTCAGACTATGAGACACACCAATAGTGCTGTGCTTTCTATAGACTAGACTCACAACACAATACTTTTTTCGCAAACCAAACCAATTAAATACATTAATTTAAAGTCAAACTATAATTATATATTAATAAATTTAAATAAAACTATATTTAAAAAATTATTTTGTTTGACTTAAAACAAAATCAAATAGATTTTATAAAAGTGACGAATAAATATCAGTAATTCATATTTTATTTTTATAAAAACCTTATAATTAAAATTACATTATAGATACAAATTATAACTAAATTGTTAATATATTTTATTGGATTTTAAATTAAATTTACTCAACTGTTATTTTATAATAAATACATATATATTACAGTAAATGGATAATAACATAAAAGTTTGAGTCAAAATCAAACCGAAACCGTTTTGCGGTTCCATTTTTATGATCCAACCTTTAAATCAATCTATGATTTGAGTTCTATTAATATTGTATATTATAATTAGAGTTCGATCAACATTCCCAAGAAGGGAAGTTCCCMAAAAAAATCCATCTAATTTTTCCGGAAAATATATAATTTTCCCTCATTTGATAGTTAGAAAGGGATAATATATTTTTATATTATTACAATAAATAGTATTAAAAACTTAAATATATTATAAAAAAATATTTAAGTATTTAAAAATTAATTTTAATTCAATAAATTTAGTGAGACTATTTATAATAACAACTTTAAAAATAGTTTAATATTATATTTGTTTTTAAAACATTAAAATAATGTGTTTTTTAGAGTTTAATAGGTGGTAGCGCAAGGAAATAGATTCTCTGGGAATTTCCAGGAAAATGGGAACTTAAGAAACTTGGGTTTAAAACGAGGGAATAAATCTGATCGAACTCTAATATAATAAAGTAAAGTTTAATACATTATATATAAAGTATAATAATTTACACTATTTTATAATACAGTATAATATTAATACTATTAATACAACGCTTTCTATAAAATATCCATAAATTATGTCATTTTGTCAAACATTTGTATTAATACTACTTTTTATTTTATGTTAAGTTATGCTAAACACGTATAAAACAATTTATATTTTACTGAATTATTTTTAATTTTTATTTTATTATTTAGTAATATATTTTATTTATTATAAAAATTAATAGAAATCTATAATCATTTTATATAACTTGAATTGTTATGCAATAATTACATTAGAAAAATAATATACTCTTTAATACATTGTATAACACAATAAATATATGTTATTAGAGTTATACACTATTTAATCATTAAATATATTATTTATAAAACAATTAATAAATGTGTCGTAAGTCATATACAGACAACAATATGTTATAATACTGTAGTAATAATTGCTATCATTTCATAATAATTGTCTCAAAGTTAGTGCACTATTATTACTATACAAACAGTTTTGTATTGCATAACAATTTGTAGACAACTTTAACACAAACACACAGTCTGTTTGTATTGAAATTCAATGTTATTATAATAATAATGTATTGAAAACATTTACATTAAATTAAATATTAATAAATGATTTGTAATTAATTGCATATATTTATCATTTGTTAATAACAAGTAATATATGAGAAGAGTATCAGCGATGGTACTCAAGATGATTGATATCGGCGTTAACCTCACCGGTAAGTATCCAACACTTGAATCACTAATTATTACTACATTTGTTAATTCAAAGTTAACTATAGCTTAAAATACGATTACATTTATTATATTTTTTTAAACTTAATTTTTATTTGTTTAGAATTGAATTATTAAACTTAAAATTATCATTAAAATATAGATATCATATATCATACTGTAGTAAAAATATTATAAATATCGTTAAATTTTTTATATTTTTAATTTAATTATAAATTTATATCATAATTGTTAGTTTAATTGTTATGACATAAAATCTATCATTTATTGTCACACTGTATAGGTGTTAGGTATAGGAGTAAAAGGGTTGACCTATAAATAGTTGGGCAGGTATTTGATGGGGGTTTCAATCAATTTGTTAAATAAATTATTGATTACGGTTAAGGTATATGACACTAACCCACCGTTTTTTTATTATGTATTACAATTGATTTGTCATACCTTAACCTTAAATGTATTTTTGTTGTAATTATATAATTACTTGTATGTTATTTACCGGTAATCAAATAATATCATTGAAATAATGAGTGAATTTCATAATAAATTATTAAACTATATTTTGCTAAGTTTTAGTTAGAAATTGAATGCAAATATTAATGAAATATTAAAGAATATTCTGTATATTTGTAATGAAAATAATATCATAATGACTGAAATTTGTCAAAACTAATATAACTAATATTTGTTTTGATCACTCAATAGATCCAATGTTTAGAGGAATATATAATGGTTCGCACAAACATAGCCCAGACTTGTCGGATGTGATAAAAAGGTCGATCACTCATAACATCGATAAAGTTAGTAACTGTTAATATTCAACAAATATAATAATAATAATAAATTATAATAAAATATAAATGATTTTTAGATGATAATAACGGGTGGAAATCTTGAGGATAGTAAAGCCGCTCTAGAGTTGGCCAAAACAAATGATATGCTCTATAGTACTGTCGGTTGTCATCCAACTCGTTGTCTTGAGTTTGACGCCTATGAAGACTCAGACAAATATATGAATGAATTAATAGAATTGATTGACAATAATAAAGACAAAGTAGTGGCCGTCGGAGAGTGTGGTCTCGACTACGATAGGCTTCAGTTTTGTCCAAAACAACAGCAATTAAAGTAATAATAAAATCTGTTTTATAGTATTATTTCAATATATTGTTAACTTATAGGTATTTTGAGAAACAATTAACAATATCGGAAACAACAGGTTTACCACTGTTTCTTCACTGCAGAAACGCCGCAACGGATTTATTGTCTATACTAACCAACAATAGACACAAATTTATTGGTGGAGTCGTAAGTACTGTATTTTAAATTCAATAAAAAATTAATTATTTTATGACTATTTATAATAATTTTGTTTAATATCAGAGCTTKAATGATAATGAATGCAATGATAACAACTTAATTTATACTTAACTATTAATATAAAATTATTTTACGACTAAAATCTATATATTATCATTTAATACGATATACAGTAATATAATGTATTTCTATGAAACTTAAGGTCCACTCATTTGATGGTACATTAGATGAGGCCAAAGAGTTTATGAAATTAGGTCTATATATCGGTATTAACGGGTGTTCACTAAAAACTGAAGCTAATCTAGAAGTGGCGGCAAAGATACCAAATGATCGACTTATGATTGAAACAGGTATTGCTTTTTCACATCACATCCAATGTTTTTAGATGAAAATGATATTACTGTAAAAGTACTGTATATATAAATTAACTAATATTAAATTATTAAAAAATATTAAACTGTTGACAGATAGCCCGTGGTGTGAGGTTAAGCCCAGTCACTCCAGTGCTAAGTATGTGAAGACTGTGTTCCAGAGCCGTAAAAAAGAGAAATTTGAATCTGGATTTCATATAAAGGGTAGAAATGAACCCTCAAATTGTGTACAAATATTAGAGATATTGTCTCAGATTAAGAATCACTCTATCGATGATTTGGCGGATATATTGTATGAAAACACTGTTAAGTTATTCTTCAATCGTCAMAATAACTGATCATCTATTGACCACTTTCTTCATATTTGTCATATTATATTAAATAATTGTTTATATAAATTATTCCAAATATTTTTTATATTTAATCAAATATTTTTTATTAATGTTGTGGTTTTGTAATGTAATGAGCCGTTTAATTAGTCAATGCTTTATACTGATTAGCCGTCCATTGAAAGGCTTCCGACATATATGACTGCAACACATCTATCGCTTGAATCAACACTTTTTGAATGTTTTCGGGCGCAAGACTTCCACTAAAAAAAATWAAAAAATATATTTAAAAAAAATTTGTCATTATATTTATATTATTAATTATCATTTAACATACGTCAAGACATTTGTCTGCAACCAATTTGAGACAATTATCCAGTATTTGAGTAATAGAGCCCACACTGTGYTTAGATAGCTATGAACTTGGGTTGTAAACTGCCAAACAAATGACTGTACTTTCGGCATATATTCATCAGTTATCTATTGAGATGTCATTTAAACAAATGTTAATCAAAATTATCAATTATCTGCTAATTAGATGACATACTGTCTCCAGAATGGGTGGAATTGTTTTGTTGATCCAGACTCTGATCACTTCAGTCGAGTTCCATAAATAGACCATTACTTCAGCAAATTTGGCCCAAAATACGTTCAAATAGGGAGAAACCACTTCACTGACAGACTTGAAATAGACTGGCATATTGATGGACAGCCAACTAATTAATAGTTTAATAATTAATTATTTAGACAATTATTTGAGAGAAAGTACGAACCTATAAGCTATTAACGAGTAGACCTCGATCTTGTTGTAGGCCTGTTCAACAACAGGTAAAGTACCCGTTTGTTTCAATACATTTCCAGTATATGACTCTGTTTTATAAATAAATAAATAAATTTCTAATTAATGTTTCAAATAAAAAAAATACAATTACTTTGAAATGATCCGTGAGATTTGGTATCGTAAGCCAAAAGGACAGCCACCAGTACTGTCAACACCATTAGGATGGACTTAATCGGTAACTTCCAGTTAGACATTATATTGAGAAGTGTCTTCATATACAAATGAGTTGCAATTTATTAATTAATTTATTAAACTATTGATGAATTAATGACAGGAATGTTAGGAAATGACTAGAAATGACTTATGAATGGGAATGTATATCATTTAGATGTGTATATACATCGAAACCATCAAATACTGTACTGTACTGTAGTATAGTATATGAGCACTGGGAGGCTATTTGTTTTGATTCATATGACATTAGAGTACAGTATGTGAAAAGCAAGTTTGACTATAGAGTACTGTATAGTATGACAATGGCTTGTTTTACACGATTTTAATATCAAGTTATACATGAATCGCACCCATACTATACCATAGTAGATACTACTGTACCTAATCGTCTAACCTATGGAACATAGGTTATAGGATTATGGCTATAAGTTATAGGCTATAACAATACTAACTACTATAGTCTATAATATTTCACCAAATTTTAAATCAGTTCAACAATTCAATTCATAATCGACTAAAAAAAATGTTTAAATTGTCATTTTCATATAATATTAAATATTAATATCAATTGAGCTAAAATTGCAATTATTAATTTAGTAAATGTGTATTTATATATTAATTAATAATTTGTAATTCAAGTTAAATTATTTTTATATACAGCATATAATATCATATCATGTTAGCATACARTATAACTTAATGATATTATAGTATTACAAGCATATTATTACAAAAACTAAACTTAAAAATTTAATTAAATGCTCTTATATTTTGCAAATCATTTTATAAATGATACAATGACTTTTAATTAATAAAGTAGAAATGTATTAACGTAAGTATACTATATTATATTACACAGTATAATATTTTGAAAATGTTATATAAATTAATATATCGTATAATTAATAAAATTAAATAAATGCATCACAATTCTTACAATCAAAATAGTTTGTATTATTAATATAAATAAAGTACCGGTAATTTATATACAGTAGTATTACCAAAGTCAAGTCAATTTTCAAAAATAAAACTACCGGTAATCTACTTTTCACTGTTATTAAAATATTTTCTAATATTTCCAATTTATAATAAATTTATAATAATAGTTTAATTATTAAAAAATTATAATATACTAATTAAATGATGTCTAAAATTTTCATTTATAAGCAATAGTTAAAACATTTTTCGTTTGAATTATTTGTTATATTTTGAAAATTTGTAAAATATAGTGTTTGTTAAAGAAGTGTACAAATATTATATACTATATAATAGAATATATAGTAACATACCTGAGCGTAATGTTCACACGCCTCCTGTCCCTCTTTGGGTGATCTGTTCTCAAGGATTGTGTCTTCATTGGTATTTTTAAAGCTTAATACAGTTTCATTCAACARTTTTATCGACAGACTGGACGGTAATGTTCGGTAATTATTAGCTAAATACTCGAGTAATTTAGCCGACTATTCAATTAAAATTTAAAATATTTACAGTTAATATTTAACTAATATTAATATTATGAAAATAGTAAACTTCAATAATTAAATTAAAATTCAATTTAAGACATACTTGTGTTAAATTTTGGGCGTAAAGAGTACGCCAAACACTAAAGCACTGGTTATCAGAGGCCAAACATTTAGTCAATTCTGACAATAACTCTGATCTGTTATTTGAAAATATAGTCCACTCTAAGCGTTCAAACAAATGGGGAAAATAAAGCCTAGAAGTGGTTTTCGAGTTATTGTATATCGATATTAACTAAAAAATAAATATATATATATTTATTATATAAACAAAAATTAAATTTAGTAAATTTATTTCAATACTTTAWATTTTAGATAAATGCTATCCAATTGCTTTTGTGAGGCCAGTGTCATACCATTTGCTGGAGTGTGTATGAAATCAAAGAAAGTAAAGAATTGTTTGACACTTAAGACCTCATTCGGTAATTTAGAATTTAGATGAAATCTATAAATATATAAATTTTTTAAATATAATAGATTTAATGGGACATAACTTTTATTAAAACATACGCCAACAATGTATTCAATGAATCAATAATATATTTGGTATAAGCTTTCTGTTGAATAATTGGTAACATAAGCTCTAACCAAATATTAAGACCACTCTTTAGGTCCTTCTTGTTTGACTGTGAGGCCACCCATAGTATTGATAGGCAGACCTGTTGTCTATTGCAATAGGAGATTCTGTGTTGAATAAATTTCTGTATATTATTAACAGTAAAATCCGGATATTGACTGCTTATGCATTGAAGTATTATCCGGAATCCCATCGTTGGTGTACTCTGTTTGACCAAACTCTGGAGCAATTGTTCCTGAATTAGCTGTAGTATTGGTTGTGGACATTGACGGATGTTCCGGTTTATGAATTCAATTACACTTTGGGGTAATGCACTGGAAGGGTAGTCTGAAAGATATAAACATTTTAATAAACAATTTTATTTGAGATCATATATAAATAATTGAGTCAATTACCAAATGACTTGTCTGCAAATGTTACGTCTTCGGGCTCTATATATTGAAACTTTCCGTTAACTATTCAAAACAAATAAATAAATATTATTATAATGTAAATACTAGTACCGGTAATATTATTTTATATAAAAATAAATTGTAAAATCAATATTTACAACAATAAAAATATTTAATATAAATATTGCATGACTTCTAAGTTAAAACTTACCTTAATTATAACAAAATCAATAACACATACTGTACTACTTGTAAGTTATAAAATATTTATGTATTTGTATTTATTTAAAATCTCATATTTTTATTAAAACTATTTTATAGATCATTAATAAGAATTCAAATGTCATTTTATTTTTTAAATTCAAACTACTGTATAAAGTAATTATAAAAATACGAAATAATATATTCATTAAATCTAAAAACATCTATAACTACCTTAAACTTTAATAAAATCTAATTTCATACTATATTTCAAAAATATATCAAAATTATGACACATTTAGTAAATATATGATTAAAACACTTACGAAAATATGCGATATCTTTGAGCCAAATGAGAGGCATATCGGGAAACTTTACTTTGGTTTCTTCGGCCACTTTCTCAAACTCAGACACTTTTAGCTAATTTTAATAAATTTTAATTATAAATAAATTTTCATAAAATAATAACAAAAATATATCACTTCTTTAGCCAACTGTTCAAAAGTCAGAGGTTTCGTTGTTTTCTTCGGCGATTCATTTATCAAAACTGGTTTCTTCTTTGGTTTACTTTTGGCCAACTTTTTGTCGATGACTTCATTTTCGTTATTTTGGTCGACAACTGATTTAGTATTATTTTGTTGTTGTTTATGAAGTTTTCGTTCTTCAAGATTAGCAAAGACACTGAAGTTTGAGTCGCTTATAGCGATTTGACCTAAGATTAAAAAATATGATAAATCAGATGAAACACCGATTATGACGTGTCATATGTTCAACCATATGACTACTACTCTACCGGTGCTATCCTTATGATTGGTATCATCAGTCAAGTGCTTCTTATGATTCTTTATCTGATTCTTATTGTTCTTCTTCTTGCCGACCGTTTCCCAACCGTTTGATGCCATTGTTTGGTCAGTCAGTRATAACTGCACTTAATTTTAATGAAGATATTAGTGATGTGTTGTTTGTGTCGACAACTCGTTTAAAAAGCACTTCACATCTCAATCAATGGTTTAGATGATAGACGGCGCTCGTGACCAGTGGACACACTAATCCCGATATTAGACACCAAAATAACTTAATTATTATTCATATATTTATTATATTTCATTAAAACATTTGTTAATTAATTATAAAAATATAAATCAATTTTTTAATTTATTTGTTAATCATTACAATTCCTATAATACAAACAAATAATAATAATATATAAAAACATATATTATATTCAATAATAGGTTTGTCTGTATTATAAACTAACACAATATCTATGGTTTTGAAAACACATTTTGAAAACCAAAATATAAATATATAATCAATGGTTAGTTTGTCGACAAACTTATCGATATTTACACCAAAACTAATTTAGAGGACAAACGATCAGCATTTGATAGATATCGGCGATCAAATGGCCACTAATAAGCGTGTACTGTATTGCGGCGGTCTCTCGGAAGAAGTGGATGATAAGATACTTCAGGCGGCGTTCATACCATTTGGTGATATCATTGACATTAACCTTCCGATCGATTTCTCGACACAAAAACACAGAGGATTTGCTTTCATTGAGTTCGAGTCGGCCGAAGACGCGACCGCAGCAATCGATAACATGAATGACTCGGAAATTTTCGGCAAAACAATTCGCGTCAATACTGCTAAACCTATCAAATTAAGAGAAGGTTCGGCCCGTGCCGTCTGGTCAGAGGACACATGGCTCCAGAAACACGCGGGAAAAACGCTTACAGACGGACAATATAAAGATGAAAATGAAAGCGAACGACAATCCGGTGAAAACATTGATACAAATACTAAAGACAATGGTCTCAACACTGTAACTGATGCTGAACCAGATGTTGATGAAGATGAGACACCGGAGATTAAGAAATTGAAAGAAAATCCTAACGTATTTTTTGATATCAGAATTGATGGACAATTTTCTGGAAGAATACGAATAATGCTTCGAAAAGATGTCGTTCCGCTGACGAGTGAAAACTTTCGTTGTCTTTGCACTCATGAGAAGGGATTTGGATTCAAAAATAGTACTTTTCATCGAATTATTCCTAATTTTATGGTATTTCCCAATTATTTTAGTAATTATTGTACATTAATAGAAATGTTACCAAACAGATCCAAGGAGGAGACTTTACCAATGGTGACGGAACGGGTGGTCGCTCTATATATGGTCGTAAGTTTGAAGACGAAAACTTTGTACTTAAGCACAACGTCGCCGGATTGTTATCAATGGCCAATTCGGGTCCAAATACTAATGGCTCACAATTTTTTCTAACAACTGCTCGAACTGAATGGTTGGATGATAAACATGTCGTGTTTGGTCAGGTAGTACAGGGTATGGAAGTGGTTAAGCGTATAGAACAATGCGGAACCAAAAGCGGTAAACCGACCAAAAAAGTGGTTATAAGTAATTGTGGAGAACTTGTATAATACTGTAATATTAACTTGAATTATATATATATATATATATATAAATTTATTGGTAAATATGCCATTAATTTTTTTATTGTAATAGATAGGTATTGTAAAGTGATGTTTCAATTTCATAAACATTTCATCATTTATCAAACTTTATAAATACCACAATAGATTAAATTTCACTGAAAATCAAAGTTGTAATAAAAAATAAAACTAATTTTGACAATAATTTTGATGTTATATTAACTAACGGTTTTCTTTTCAATATTCATAGCTAACACCTGTGTCCTAATGGCCATAGCCTTTGTCTTTTCAATTAACTGTTGGTACTGTGAGACAGCCTGTGTGCCCATCACTACATGTCCTAACTTAGAGTCAATTTTTGCGTCCAGCTGTGCGTTACGGATAAGGTTAACAATCCAACGCTCAGCCTCTTCGGCAGTCATATTCAGTTTGTCGGCTAACATACTATTAAGAAAACATTATGTAAAATCATAACAAAGATTTAATTCAATACAAACCTAATGGATATACATTCGTGTATTTGACAGAAAGTTTCAAATATGAAAAGTCTTGCGTTTTCAATGAAATCATCCAAACAGGCGACCAAAAAGAAGTCATTTTCTAATACTGTCTCACATTCTCTTAACTTTTTCTGAGCGCCATCGAAGTCAAAGTTAACGTACAGACACTCAACGAATTCAGTAATCGGATCCCTATAAGTGTAAGACTCTTGTTGTATAACACGAACCAAGTCTTTCATGTATTGTCTGCGTTGTCTGTGAGTAATGACAGCAGTTGTTAGATAACGCAAAATGTGTGGACACATAGTTTGAATAGCATTCAAATAGGGCTGTTGTTTCATATATTGTCCCTTCTTTTCAAAAAACATTTCAATAAGCAATTCCCGTCCCTGAGGATGATTAAAGAAGACAAACAAACTCCAGTGGATAAGCCATGTCCTCTGTTGAAGAGCCTGTAATGAAGACGTGAAATTAGTGGTATCGATGTGCTCCTTAAGCCGGTTTAGGTCCTCCAATGCTGACTCCCATTGTTGCATAAGTATCTCTGCGGCCAATTTGCCCCACAAATTGTTGAGATAATTCTTGTCATTTGGTGTAATCAGTACTCTATGTGATGACAGATACTGAGAGGCACCCGAATAGTTACCGCATTCGTATTGAAATTTCGCAAAATTATATAAATAAGTTGACATTTCCGGCTTAAACTAATGTTAATAAAAATAATATATTATTAAAACAATTTTTTCGGGAAAATCACTGATAACTAACGTCATAATTGGTCTGCAAATAGTCCAACAATTGTCGACTGTCTCTAGCCTTCTGTATCTCAGCTGAGACTTCAGGTTCGGCCAAAATTGCCAAAACAGGTTCCGTTTGACTCTGAAGTTGTCTGAGTTGAGATACAACCTCTTGACGTCTATCCTTTAGCGCATCGGGTGTTTCGGGCGGTTCTCCCTTTTCATTGAGGTTGAGTCGGGCGTGAATGTCAATGACGAAGTCAATCATATTGGTGTTGGACAACAACTCCATCTTCCCTTCGAGTATCTCTTTCTCATTATAGATCTGATCAATAAAACAAATACAAAGATATCAATTAATAAATTGACATTTAATGATACTTTGATGGCTGACACGTGGCTGTCAATTGTAGTTATATTTTCAACCACTCATTACTAGACAATTAACAACTCGATGACTGCCAACAGTGTAACAAATGGTTGGTTAAGACTTACCTCTTTAACTGATAAGAACTCGAGTAAAGGGAAAACCATATGTTTGTCCAGATATTTGCCGAGACGTGCGGTTAGATCCCATTCAGCCATCTTTAACATCAATTTAATCAAATACAACACGTGTTGTCATTTATGGCAAACTCTAACTAATCAATCATAAAAAGTCACAAAATATCGCTTTATTTTTACAAACAATTCCAATGCAATCCTATTGCCTAACATATCGTCTCTTTTGAAATAACATATCTATTGATAAGTGAGACATCTATTGGATTAAATTTTTATCAATAAATGTATTCAAAAGTGTTTTTATGTGACAAACGATTGTTTGAAAACATCAAACAATTAATGCTTTATTGAAATGATTTGTTTCTCACCACTACTTCTTCAGCCAATTTACTGACACATCGCTGTCGATGAATGTCTTAAATGTCAAATAAATTGCTATTAACTCACTATTCATGTTATTATAAGAAGACAATCATATTTGTGGTGTAAATAATTAATAAATTTATTAATACATTAATTATTTATTAATTATCATTAAATTTGGTGTTTTGTGACAAACATTGGTCACTGAATTGTTGTCATCAATCGATAACTATAACTAATACTTAAAGACTATCAATAGTTTTTGTTAATGAAGAGTATTGGATCAATTTGTTGTCAAATAAAGTGATTTACATTTGATTTGTAAGAAATTATTTATCACTTGTTTGTCGACAATTTAGTTTGTGATCATTGGACACAATGCAAGCGCAACCAATTCAAATGTCTTCAGCTCAAGCCATGTATCACGTCATCAATAATCCGATGATTAATACGAATAATACGGATCTGAAGAACCAATTGAGTCAATTGAATAACGAAAACCAACAATTGAGAAGAAAATTGAATACTAAGAACAATGAGTGCGAGAAATTCAAGATGAAGGCCAAGGAGGCCAGGGATGAGTGCGAACAATACAAACAAATGGTTAATCAGTTTTCACAATCAGTCAACTCTGTCAATGGCAACAATTCGTTAAACCTATCGGTTAACCCGATGGCCACAATGTCTAATATGTCGATGCCGTCCACATCGGGCCCTAATGTTGGCGCCGGTGGTAAACGTAAACGAAAGAACCAACAGTCGCAACACTACCAATGCTGCTGTTGTGACAGCGACAAGAAGTATGTCTGTGAGTTTGAGAACTGCGGCAAACGTTTCCGACAGAAACCACATTTGGACGCACATCAGGCCATACATACTGGTCGCCGGTATGCATGCGATTGGCCTCAATGTGGCAAAAGTTTTGTACGTAAATACAATTTGGCCGAACATCAGAAACTTCATTCGACAATYAATCCAAATATGTGTGATTATCCTAATTGTGGCAAATGTTTTAGCAGTAAATACAGTCTAACCCGTCATCAGAGCGCACAACACAACCAAACTTTGCAGTCAACCGATGCCCGCCGACAAATGCTTCTCAATTCAGACCAATAATACACTCATTCAGTGGTTAACTCATTGACTCAACTATTTTAAGTTAACCACAAATACTATTATATTATATAAATGGCACCAAATATTGTTTGCAACTACTAAATCATTAAATTTATTTTAAATTATTTGATTCATAATTCATAATTCATAATTATAATTATAATTATTAGTAATTATAAAATTATATTCAATGTATATAATCATTATATATATACTGTATATTCTATCGTTAATAACTCTTATATTTTTTCATTCATATCGATATTATATATTATACTATAGTTTGATTGATACTATGTTTTCAAAATGTTTTWCCAGCTTAACGGTAATGCAAAATCCGAAAAACTATAAATGATTTAAAYATTTTTAATAAATGTGTATCGTTTGCCCAAATTATATAAAACTAAATTATCATTTGGAAACATTGTATTAAATTATGTATTTTGTAAATTATATATATATTTTTAAGTAAACGAAATATTATATAATATGAATAATAATTTTTTTAAAAATTATATAAAATTATTATAAGAAATAATACTAAAATTTAAATATGTAATCCTAAATATAGATAATTTTACTTAATAAAKTATTAATAATATTTTTCTAACTTTAATATTTGATTACACAAGTAAAATAAATTTGATATACTTTAATATAATTASAATTACTGGTATATAATAAAAGCTAATTGAATGTACAATTTATAATTTGTAAAAATTAAATTACGGTAAGTATTATATGTCGCAAATATATTCAAAAGTTTGCTTTGAGTTAAGTTTAGAGTAATTCATCATTTATTATTAGATGCAATTTATTTTTGTTTTAATTTATATTAAACTAACAATATATACAATACAGCATTAATTAATAAAATATATTTTAAAAATTAATTACAAGAATATTAATGGTAGAGTAAATTATAACATTTATTTAATAATTTTTAATAATATTAAAAAGATTGATATAATATTACCAAATCATAAAATTGACTAATTGTTAATTACGAGATATTAAATACAWACAGCTGTTATGTTAAACTTTATTTAAATTTAATATTATAATCAGTTATAAATTGTTAGTTTAATTAAAAAAAAATTAATTCATATAAGTAAACTTTATTACAAAAAATGCATTTTAACATAACAAATGTTGAAACTTATACGACTACTATAGTTTTRATTAAATATAGTTATTATTGGCTATTATATCGTATATTTTTTGCCAATATTGTCTTCAATTCACTAATATTATACATTTTATATTTGACTGACACAAATGGCCCACATCTACATTGGTGTCGATATTATTTAGTGTCATATTTAGTGGAAATATTTATGAATAATTTTGGTTTATTTGTTATCACATATTTACCACAATTTTTAATACCTGTCTATTTGTGGGCTTTTTATGTCTTTTATAACAAACCCGCTCTTATGCTGTATGAGTTGGATGTCTACGATATTAGACAGGGATTACATGTAAATCCAATTATATGTATCATTAGATTATTAATAATTGTCGCACTTGTGATCTTCAAAATTATTATATTTGTATCTATAATTAACTATTACTGTATTAGTCTCATAATCTAACAATTTTGCTTCAATTAAATTTAATACTATACAAAATAATTATAATTTAGTAAAAATAATTATAAATGTAAATGTAATTTTTTATTTCTACAACATTTTTATTAATTATAATATAAGTTAGTTCAAGTTATTGTATATATTTATTAAACTATTAAAGTTTAATTTATAATTAGCAACTAAATTTATGTTGTTTTCACAATTTTAATAATTTAATTTATCGCATTAATTGTTATTAAAATTATTGTATTAATGACTCATAAAAATAATATAATAACAAATTAATATTTATTTTATAAATTTAGATTATTTTTACTCTAACAGGTCATATCAATATATTAATGTGTAATGAATTTAATTTACAAGTTATAAACTTTGATTATATTATGTATTTGATACATATTTAAACCAGTTTTTAATTTATTATTAACTTTTTTATAATAATTTTAATTTAATGCAAGTATTTATAATTATATAAAATAAAGTAATGTTAAACTAACTTTGATGAAAGCTTTCATCTAAATTATTATTAGACTATTATATAATAATGTGTTATAAATAATATTTTGTATAATAATTTTTAAAATAATATTCATAAACACAAGAAATTAAATAAATTAAGAAATTAAAACATTTTTATTAATAGTTTTCAATATTTCATTAAATTGTATACAATATAATTTTATTCGATAACTTAAGTTAATATAATAATATAATTTATATATATCTTAAAAATAACTAATTATCTAACTTTTCTGTATAACATTAATGTTTTACATGTATGTCATATACTGTATTTAAAAAATATTTGAAAAATAACCATTTTTATTTTGCACTTAAAATGTTATGTTTATTTATATAATCTTTTTTAATATGCTAATAAAAAATTACAAGTTATTAAAATATTAAAATTACAAATTAAATTATTTTTATTATCATTTCAGTTAATTATTTAACATTTTAGTTTATATTATATTTGATATACAATCACACTTTGCGTTATAACTTATAAGAACTTATAAAATGTTAGCAAAATAGTTGTCATCAAAATAATAAATATATGATTTTATAAAACATGATTTTATAAAATTGTTGACTGATTTAAAATTTATTTAAATTTTAATATGGTATAAATTATAACATTTGAATAATTACTGTACAGCATTTAGAAAATGTTTATGTATTTTTATTTAAAAACTCAAAATAAATATAACAAACTATTGATAAATAAATAAAAAGATATTAAATAATACAAATTATACACATAATCAGTGAAATGGTAATCAATTACATACTTTACATCACTATAATTTAAATCATTGCCAATATTTTATATTAATATTGTACTGTATTATAGTAACATAACTTATTTTGTCAATTTATCATTTATTGTTTGATAATATAATAATCATTATACATATTATTTTCAATATATACCTTATATATTTAATAAATTATTTATACAATCTTATGTAAGATCTATTCAATTATATTATTTTCATTGACAAACATAATTTGAATATCATTCTAATAAATTATTTCCTAATTAAAACACTTAATTAAATTTCATAAACATTTAAAATAAACTAATAATCATATAAATAAAATTGCCAATTATAATTAACGAAATAACAAATAAATTGTTACATATGTTATGTTAAATTGTTATTTTAAATTACAGACAAAAATTGCGTACATTTTTATTCAAAATTGTTGATAAAAATTAATAAAATTTTCCAATTTTCATATCTCTTATAATTTTGGTGATATAGTATCACTGACTCTGATACTACATTAATCTAGAAATATAAACAGTATATTATACTGTATTATTTATACATTACATACAATAATTTTATACTAATATTAAATATTATTATCTTTATTTCCAATAAGTTAATAAATGCTTTTAATTAAAGTAAGTCTACATTAGAGAGCGAAAAGTTTCGGACCCGTACCTGATCTGATACCTAAAATCTCGGACTCGGACCTGACCTAACATAGGGTACAAATTTACCTGACCTGACCTGACCTGACTATGTCTGTCCGAAAATAATTTTATCAAAAAACAATTTTATTTATTCTATACCCGCAACAAATTTCTCTAAATTAACTTTAATTACTCGGGATTAACGATAACTGATTGTAGATCTAACTTAGATTCTAATAAAGTTAATATGTTATTATTTATTAGATCAAAACCATCATCTTTTGTAATATTTTATGTTTAATTTATACAAAAATATTTCATAAATAATAATTTAATAAATTTTGTGTTTGATTGTCATATTTTGTAATAATTGTCGTTTAAATAATGAATAAAAAAATTTCGGACCTGACCTGACCTGACCAAAAAATTTTGGTGTTCGGACCCGTACCTGACCTGACCTGAGCCCTAACTTTTACCTGACCTGACCTGACCTGAAAAATCAGGTAAGTTTTCAGTCTCTAGTCTACATAATTGTATTTTTTATAAAAACCTAATTTTATTCATTTATCTAAACTTTAAAAATCTTGTTATTGTTAGTCTTAACTCAAGACTATAAAAATTATAGTAAAACTAATAAATAGTTTATTTAACGTATAATTTATATTCAATGTTTCCCTTTAAGTCAAATCTATATTTATCTTTTTAGTCGGAAAATTAAACATACATTATATTAGACAAACAATTGTTTTATAACTGTCATACAAAACCAATAAACTAGACATCAAATAAAGTGCTGAAATTGCCGCTAAAGTAATAGTGCCGATGATATTAATTATTTAAAATTAATAATTATATGAAGTCTACAAATATTGTCTAAAATAAGACAATTGATTTCCAAAGGAAATACAGTTATTGTATCATATGATTCATATCTACTATTTAAAGACCATATCTTATACATTGTAAACATTTATAACTATTAATATGTAGTGTATTAGTGATGACCGCCGTATGCTATGATATACTACTGTACTGTTAGTCCAACAATAAGACGCTCTCTATTGGTATTGAACTCTAACATAGATTGAGACAAAATTCAATCAACTTTTACTTATTGTATATATTTTTGACCAAACATTGCAAATACTGTATGTTTTAATAACTGCAGCGAAGTTTTATCAAAAAGAGACCGCATTTTGTTGGGGATTATTATAATAGATAATTGAATTAYCATTTCATAAAATTATATTAATTATAAAATATAACAACATTGATAAATAATTGAGCATGTTCACATTTAATTAACAAATTTTTCATATCTACTTTTAATTATAAACTTATTTATAGTGTTAAATGTATTGAATATATTGTTACTTATTTTGTTTAGAGATCGATACTACAAAAGACATTACAAACCGAAACCAAAAATACGAATATCTATTATATTTAAAAAATTATTAAATTTATTTTATTATAATTATATTAAATCTATATTAATATTTTGTTTGATTACTACATTATATAGTAATTAGATTTTAAATAATTATTAAATTATTAAATCTAATGAGTAAAAACCTAACCGACCCGACACTACAAACCTATTTTGGTTGTCAATCCTATTGTAGAGTATATGTGAAATGTCTGCTTATTATTGACTAAAGTGTTGAAGTGATGCCCACAACACACACAACACACACAACACATAGACTGTATGCCACTCCCTATCCTGTGTTATAGAGTTCAGAGCACTGATAGCACTGACACATACACTGCAATACAGCCATTGATTACACATTGAATGCTTACAAACATAACAAACAATCAGTTCATCGGGTCTGATCCATGACATGAACTTTTTTGACAACTTTGTCAAACAAAAGTATTGCATTTACCATAAGTTTGGTGTCATTTTAAATATAAGTTTTGGATTAATAAATGCTTTGAACAGATAATTATCACTTTAGTCATCAGTGATATCACATTCACTGTCATCTACAACAACAACAACCCCAACCTTAATATGTGTTTTCATTTTAGACAACAATTAAAACTTAACTGTGATTTAGTCTCTATTTTATCGCAACGACAAAGACATTGATATTTGAGGAATTTGTTGAATTGGTGACACTTGAAGACAGAATGGAAACTGATTTGATGAAGTATGGAGAGAAGGTTGAAGAATATTACAGACATGTCATTCAATCGACAACAAGAGATGAGGCATTGTCTCCATTGATGAATACGACACTATTGTACGACAACTACAATATATCAATATTTGCCAAATTGTTGCACTCATTGCCACACATTGATATCCGACTCAATTATCTGCAAAACAAGACATTTAATCCAAATGACAATCAATACTTGGAATCGTTAGGCATTTTGGTTGCCATTCCTGGCTTTTGGCTAATCATAACATTACTATTCTTTCTGATATTTTTTTTGTGCCGATGTTGTGACGCCAACAACAAGAAGAAGCGCAAACTTACGGCTTGCAAATGCTGTCTCTTCATGTTTGCTATCATTTCGGCATTTATTATATTCATTGGGATATTTGGCAGTCTTATCACACATCATGGCATTGAACAGACTTACAACAAGACCGATGATATGACACAAGTGGTCAGATCTGTCATTGACAGATCAATTGCGGCCAAAAATCTTCTTAACAATAATTTTGACAAACTTTACGATGAGCTCAAAGCAGTTGTTGACAGAGTATCATCTGATCTGACAGTCAAAGGACATATCCATACGCTTGTAATTAATGGTAAAAGAAATGTCTCTCAAATTGAAAGAAATTTTGATAAAATTTATGTAAGAGTCGAAAATCTTAATATCAGCTCAATTCCCGATCATCTGAAACAATTAGAGACAGTCCGATGGCCGACCACTTTTGCTACGTTAGGTGTTCTCACCTTTATTTGTTTGATACTCATATGGGGTGTGTGTCGGCATTCGCGTTGTCTACTGATCCTGTTTTCAGTACTGGGATTGCTGTCACTTGTGGTTTGTTGGGTCATTACATCCATTTATTTAGGAATATCAGTGGCCGGAAGTGATTTCTGTTTAGATCCGCAACCGTTTATTAGTCAACAATTGAATAATGCAATCGAAGAGAAAGTATTTGATTATTATATCTTATGTAAAGACAATAATCCGTTTCGACATTTTTTACAAGAAATAAGTGAATGCATAGAAATGATGGTTTTAGCAAATGATAATATGATTAGCTATTGTAGCAAAAAGTGTACTCAACGGGAAATTACCGATAAATTGTATCAATTTAAACGAGATGTCGACAAACTTAAAGATCACTATAATTCTGTCAGAGAGTTAACTGATTGCAGTCGTATTCATAGTGATTACAATGCAATGATGACCTCCACCTGTAAAGATATACTCGAAGGGGTTGTCCTAATGTTATTGTCTTCATCAGCTGCTGGCCTGTGTTTTACAATACTGGTTCTTTGCGCTTCTCATACATGGATTAATATACGAAAGAAGCGGCCACTGATTGTCGATCAAACGGAAGAGACTGATCCATTCCTGCCTCCGGCATCCTCGACATCGACTACATCGTCGTCGGCTAATTCAAAGCGTATTCGTGATTCATATGGAAGTGGTGGCAGTGCTAGACCGAGGTTTGACATTTTTACCCCATTTTCCGATCGATGAAAATGTAATTTAGTGATGAATGTGTTGATGTGCTGATCATTACTAATATAAAATTATTAGTTATTTAAAAGACATTTGATAACTAATGTTCAACAATATTAATATATTTGAATAGATTCAGTCATACTCCCCCACAAACCCCTCATTTTCCTCCGCCAACTGCAACCCCTCCCGCCAACGGACGCACCATTAATCGTGACGATCACCTGTCGTTCTTGAGTCCTCCGCCAGCCTATGAACAGGTTCATCACAATCAGTTAGGTCATCACAACCAAATGGGACACAACCAGTTAGTTGGTCAACACCAACAATTAGGTCACCCACAGATGACACACCCCTCACAATTTGGTCATCCAATACATCAACAACAACAACACCATCAAGCGATTGGCCACAACTATGTTGTGAGTAATCGCAGATAATTACCACAAATTTGAATGTCTTCCACACAAATCCTCATATTTTCTTATTAATTGATATTTTATTCATAAAACTTCATTTATTTTGAACCAAACGTTTTCTTTGATTATTTTACTTGTTTTCATATTCAGTAAAAAACAAACAAATATTTATTTGTGATGTATTTTCTTATAAGTCATATTCTGTTTAATATTTTGTTTAATTATTTATGTTTGACTTCCGATAAAATCCTCGATTATTTGTTATAATTTGTTTAAAAAGATTTTAGTTTTGACATTATATTCAAAGTATTATTCCAAAGATTGCATTTGTTTATACCATTACTAGTAATATAATATAATATAAACAAATTTAGTTTAGTTATGATAAGTTCTTTTCTAAGTTATACTCTATCTTTCATTAATATGTCTATCCCTTATAATTGCCAATCCCTGTCCTCCCATTTCTTTTTCAATCTATAGGCTGATACAGATTTAATGCTGAGGGCCACACAGGCAACTAAGTTTTAAAGATATTTTTCATACAAACGCCCGGTGCTGTTCATCACATGAATCTCTAAAAGCCAATCACAATAATTCAAAAAAAAAATCTGTTTAACACATGACTACTATACTAACTAGTGTTTTACATTTCATTTGCATCTCATATTATGAGAGTAACTATTGATCTCTTATTCAAATTTCCAGTTAATTTATACAAATTTTCAATTGCTATACATTCTATAATAGGCTAGAAATTTGTTTTGAAAATCTAAACAATTATTACAATAATTCCTAATTGTTGACAAAAACTTATAATTTTGTGCCAACTTTTTTCAATTTTATAATATTGTCAATCTTTTAATATTGACATTGATTTTTCAATTTTCTTAATAAAATTATGCTTTCATATTATACAAGTTAGCAATTTTTTATATTTAAGGCAACCAATAATTTTTCAATTATTATTCATAATCATTAAAAACTTCTTAAAGAGTCCATATATAAAACTTAATTAGTGATTAATATGAGATTTAATTAATTGAATTTGATTTGATAGTTATTTTAATTGTTTGTTGATAATCAATGATAAAGTTAACATTCAGTTAATATAACCTCAAATATGTTATACTCATTTGTATCACACATTTGTCAGTTAATCCCAAAATTATTAATACTCTATATATTTTTACCATTAAATAATGAAATTTTGTATATATCTTTTGTAAGTAATTATTTTCATTGGACTCGATTTATAATATCAATTATACGATATATATATATAATTATCTTTTTATATATTGAACTTCATATGACTGAACAGTTCGGAGACTTAAATGCAATATCAAAACCAAAGCGTCATTAGATTGTAATTTAATTTGATTACTGAGAGATTTAATTGAAAATATATTTAGGATTTATATTTAAGAGTATTTGTTGTATTTATAGATTTATTATTTCTATTAATTACTAACCGTAATAACATAATTGACCTCTAGTTTAATGATAATGATTATCACACAAACACAATAAAATGTGTTTTGAATCGTAAAGTATTTGTATAAAAATTAATATAAAAAGTATTAATATAAAAACATAAATAAGTAAATCTATTGGTTTATAAAAATTATATAATTATTTCATGATATAAATATTTATTATTACTTTAAGTGAAACATTAACCTAAATGTATAGAAAATTTTATATAAAAAACAATCAATGTTTTGCAAGATTTCATTAAATTTTCTATTATTATAATTATTGAAATATTATTTATGATTTTTTAAAAGGATTTTACTACTATTATCTAAATACTATAATATAATAAATCTTGTTTTATACTTATATCAAAAGATGAAATTCTTGTCATAATATGATTAAATGATATTTTATATGATATGATAATATCGTCTAAAATAATGAACAAAAAACAAATCCTGTGATTCATCGATTGTTTTGTAAGTCATGATTATTACTGTGAAAGTAATTATATAATTATTTAGTTGTAAGCATTTTGGAGTCATTTATTTGTATAATTTATATAAATATTAAGTGGGTTTTAATTTTATCAATAGTTAATTTGTAAAATTTGCTATTATTGTAAATTAAAAAACATTTGTATAACAAATGACATGTAAATGTAATTTAGATCTATATATATATATATATCCCTTATTATATTGATATACTAGACAATAAAAAAGACAACAAAAATTATTTGTAAAATAGTCTGTTTATTAATATAAAAAACAATACATTTATACAGTATATTATAATTACCGGTAGATTTATCATATTGTGGTAATATATAACGTTTTGAAAATTTGTAATCCATTTATTATTATCTTTAATACAAAATTATTTACTTTTATTATATAATTGTAATTCAATAAACATTTAATTTTATTAATATTTTCATTTTGAAATATCACAAAATATTGAAAACAATTGTAGAAATATATATCAATTAAAGTTTAATATTAAGTTCTTTGGCGACTGAATTCAAAGATATACTCATCATTTGGTTCTTATTGGCGTTGAATGTGTTGACAGCCAATTGTTTGGTCTCATCCCAGGCATACAGTGCTCTGTATATGTAAGTGATTAAAGTAATGAGTATTAGAAATAATAACTAAAGTAATGAATTGATTCAAACCTGTAAATTGGTTTCACAAATTTCATCCTTCCCTGTGATGTTATGAACTCAATGGTTTCATTGATACACTCTTTCCAATGAGATTTAAGACCCAAACGTATCCAAATCGATCTGATTTCAGAGTTTTTATTACTTTTGAGTCCATATATTTCAGTCAAGACATGCATTTTTGTTAAAGAGAGTGGTATTTCGCTATCAAGCAATTGGCTTAAGAACTCCTTGACTTGCATTGGATTCATTGATGATATGTCACTCAATTTAAATTCAGACAAATTGTTGTCATTGGCGTTAATCCATTTGTTTGTCAATTCAGTGCACATTTTACTTAAAGATTTGTCATAATCTGGAATAATGGGCGGCATTCCAGTGCTGTGAAGCCATAGATCCCACTCTACTTTACTTAATATATCTGTTTTGTCTTTAAAATAATTTTCCAAATATTCTTTAAAATCATTTGTTTCGATAGATTGATACTTAAAGTGATTGATATATGATTTGAGAAATGGCTCAAAAACTTGTGGACCTCCAAGAAGTTGCTCCAAATAAAACAAAAATGTGTGTCCTTTTTCATAAGGTACAGATGAGAAGGCATCTTCGGGATCAACACCTCTTGGATCAATCATTAATTTTGTGTAATTATTTTGTTCACCCATTGCCTCGATTTCAAACTTTAATGCCTTTAAGCCTCCAATAGCGTTAAATTGTCGATTGGGTTCACCACCATTGAGACGTCCAACGATTTTCATTTCTAAAAATCGAGTGAATCCTTCATTTAGCCAAAAGTTGCCCCAATTCTTATTTGTCACCAGATTTCCTGTCCAACTGTGCGCTATCTCATGTGCCACAACAACATCCAGTGATCGGTCACCGGCCAGTAGTGTTGGCGTAACAAACGTAAGACAAGGATTTTCCATACCTCCGAATGGGAATGACGGCGGCAATACTAACAGGTCGTAAATACCCCAAACATACGGCCCGACAATATTTTCAGCGGTTGTAATAAATTTTTCGGTGTTTGCAAACTCATAGGCACATTGATCTATCACTTCTGGTTCAGACCAAACATGAGATCGCGGACCGATTCTCTTTGACACCAAATCTCCGGCCACTATAGCCATAAGATAACTGGGAATCGCTATCTTTTGCTCAAATCGATACTCTTTAGTCATTCCTTTATCACTTTGATGCCAACTTCCCGATTCAACCCTCATTGCACTCATAAGAACCACCACATCCTTTGGTACGACAACCTATTAAATCAATTATTTGTTTTTAAAAACAAATTATCACTTATTTCTTATTTAATGCTTACGGTTGCATCATATGGTGTTTTGACTGCAGGTGTGTCCTGACACGGGATTATTGATCGGCAATAAATTGCTTGACACTGACTAAACAAATAAGGCTGTCGTTTACCGGCTGTTTGTTCCGGTTTTAGCCATTGAAGAGCTGAGGCCTTATTACTGGTGCGATAGTCTATGCGAATTATTGACCGTTTCTTCGGCGGCAACTTTACGGTCAATTTAGAACCAAATACAGCCACTGATGGACTTAATTCATAACTCAATTGTTCATTAGTTTCACCATTTCTGACATCAAATATACTAAGTTGTGTTGTATCGAGAAATAGTTCATCAATTGTTTCATTTTGTTTATCAACAGTTAAGTCCACTGTTGCCTCAATTATCTGGTCATCAAAATTGATGAATGCTTTCCACGATATATGACTGACCCGTGAAAGGTCTGGTCGCGCGAAAGAATTGGCATCTATTGGGTTATTGTTGAGCTCTTCCATCAGGGCTTCCGTGGTATTGACACTCATCCTTAACCAATTGGTCTGCTTTATAGTATAGTAAATATAAACACTTAATGGTATCAATAAAAGTGATGTTAAGATATATAGTGATGTCATTTATTAATAATTATTATTGAAATTGATTTTTATTATACAGTATAGTACTGTACAGTACAGTACATACCGGTGCTGATGATTGAACTCAAGGGTCCATAAAAAATGACGACCGGTTTAATGGTTGACAACAACAACGAAAACTTTTTAACAGATAAAACACAATTTGTCAGCAATTTTCTTGACATAAATCTGTGTCAATCAATACATTAATCAATTGGTTATTAATTATTATTATAAATTCATTATAATTGCTAATATAATTATATTATTACATGTATTAATAATAGGCTATAAATTTATTATAATTGTAATAAAATTGTCAGTTTATTCAAAACCAAAATATTGGATAATTTAAAAAAATTTATTATAGATGTCTCAGCTATCAGTTTAAGCATTAAATATAGAGAAGGTTTGTTTGCAAAGGTTTGTTTGTAACGTTTAGTACTAAATATTATAGCAATACATTTCAATCACATGTTTAGCACTAAATATAGCCAATAAATACGTAAAACAATAAAGCAATGATTGAAAGTTTATTTTATTGTCTATAAAAGCGCGCAAATTTAGGGTATAGTTATTTGAATACATTTTTTATGGACACTATAATAGCATTACAAACAAACCTTTGCAAACAAACCTTCTCTATATTAATACAATGATATGATTGTAATGTGTAAATGCATTTTTGCATCATTGACTACATAATGCATTTACACATTACAATCATATCATTGTATTAATGCTTAAACTGATAGCTGAGACATCTATAATAAATTTGTTTAAATTATCCAATATTTTGGTTTTGAATAAACTGACAGTTTTTTAAAATATATGATATTTTAACCCCATTTCTAATACATACTGTACTGTATTAGAGAGTAGATGTAGAGAGTGAGAGATTATATTTATTTATTTTAAGTAATAAGATATTTAACATTTAAAATATGATTCAATAATATAGAGGAAATTTCAATGATTACTAAAAATTTATATAATTATTAATTAATTTTGATTCTTATAACTAAACCATTATATAATTTATTATCAATTATTTTTCTCAAATGCATTACAGTATAACAATTATTGTAATATTTGTCTGAAAGTTGCACACAATATATTATATTGATTAACTATTAATATATTTGTGCTTGATAATAAACCATAATATAATACAATTAATGTATAACATAATAATTGGTATAATATTTTTTTATAAACTTTGATACTCTTTTGTAATTTATGATAACATTTATTTAATAACTGCAAATAAAGTATTATAAAATTTACAATATTAAATATATTGGATATTGTATTATACAATATTCAATATACAATTTGTATACTACTGTAATAGTATAAAAATATTTGCATTATATTTTGGTTATTTTTTAAAAATTGTAATACGAAATAAATTATATTAATCTTAATGTCTAATTATATATAAATTAAGTTATAATGAAATAAGTTTGAAAAAGTTAGTTATAAATACAATTCAATCAGTAAATCATTAAACATTATTTCTATTGGTTTTTATTTTATTATATCAATTTTACAGATATTATTGATTAATTGATTATAGATTTCAAAAATATTATTATTAAATTTATTTAATTAATGAATAATTTACTAATAATTAATTTATTGTTTAATATTAGTTTAATAAGTCTTACAATGCATTCAAAGTTTTTAGTCAATAAAGTAATGCGTTATTCATGTAATATAAACGTCAAGTGTTTATACACTAAATGACCGCCAAATGTGTTGTCATTTAAATAACAATAATTTGAGCGCTATTTGTGACACAAGTGTTGCACTGGTTGTCATTGACTATACATTTACAGCGAAAACACATTCATAATTGAATCATCACTAAAACACTTCCAGATTGACCATCAATTGATCCGTCACAGCAATGGACGACTTAATGCCAATCAAAAAATTATCGGTCACTCAGCAACTGTTACGGGAAGCGCGACAAAAAGCGCCGCCACTTAATGTACCGAAACCGCTGTCAGTGGACAAAGAGTTTGTTGTAATCAATGACAAAACGGACGCTAAAAATAAACCGAAGTCACTGTTTGACCGATTTTTAATTCATCGCAACGGAGACACTAGTAGTCTGAATGGCTATAGTCCGCCAAAACCGAAGACAATTTCGGGACCCAAATGGTTGCAATTGAAGAATACAATGACTCAAGAAATGGAAAGCAAGAGATTAGAGTCAGAAAAAGAAAGACAATTAAATGAAAAGATAGAAAATGAAGAAATCGATGAAGAAGTTGTCAATGAGTTGGATAAAGTGTTGGACGACGACAAAGAAGTGGATGAAAATGAGTCAGATATTGAAGTGAATGAAGAAGAGGAAGAGGAAGATGTCGACAATGAAAGTAACGATGAAAAAGATGACGAAGTAGAAGATGAAAGTGAAGCCGAAGTGAATCCATTTGTTGACAATGAAGCAAAAGAAGATGACGAAGAAGTTTTTGAAAGTGAAGATGAAGTGGAAAATGGTAATCAAAAAGGTTTTAACGAAGAGAATGAAAAGAATTTTGATAAAAGTGAAGACTTGAACGAAAAACTATCAGTTAGTGATATACAGAACAGCCAATTGCTAGCGAGTGAAGAATGTGAAGACAGCGACAGTATTTTTAACACATCTATTACTTCATTAAATGAGTCGTTTGAACGCCGGTGCGCGACACAGAAGATTGCTTTGTCTCCTTTTATTTCACAGAAACCCAAACAAAAAAATGGTTTAAGTGATGAAGTTCTTAAACTGATCCCAAAGTTTGATTCAAATACTGATGAATTTAATTCTCAAACACTATTAGATCTGTGTTCCGGAACATTCTCTTCACAGAATGAACCACAAGTGAGTGATGTAAATGAAAATGTTATTAATGAAAGTGAAGACGAAGAGGACGAAGAAATATTTTGTTCAAACAAAAGAGTTAATAAAAGAGTTAATATTGAAAGTGAAGATGAATTAGATTCTAGTGATAATGTATATAATAATGATAATTGTGTTTCACAAAAGTTGAATTTAAAGAGATTTAACGAATCTGATGGAGAAGAACTTATAATTACCGACAATGAAGAAGATGGAAATAATGCGGACAATGAATTGAATGATGAAGAACAAGAGGAGGAGGAAGAAGAAGAAGAAGTAGAGGAAGAGACACAAAGTATTGAAAAACTTGGCAGAGGTTTCTTTGAAGATGAGGCCCAATTGTCTGGAAGTGATGCATCCAGTGATGAGGAAGAGGGTGAAGATGAGGATGATTATGATAATGAAGACGAAGACCAAGAAGAGTTACCAACTGATTATGAGCTAAAAAATCAAATCGAAAGGATTCATAAGTAAGTGATTTCATTGTTTCTATGAATACATATTATATTTATATAATGTTTATTGTTTAGTAAAAAGATGTTGGATGAAGACAAACGACAACTTTTGCTTTTACAAGACATGATGTTTGAAGACGGAGACCTTCACGACAATACTGGAACTCGAGAGAGAAAATTTCGATGGAATGACAATGAAGAAGACGACGACTTATTTAAAAACGATTACATTAATGAGGATTCAGAAGGAGATTATGTCGACTCTGGAGACGAATCAAACATTAAGTGTCCGACACTTAAAATGAATTTAATTGAGAAACAAGAGTCCGATACCAACAAAAGTGATCAAAATTTAATGAAACTTAAGTTGCATTTAGATATAAATACTAAAAATCTTATTAAAAATACCACTTTTGAACAGAAAAAATCGTTTAAATTAACAGAATATTTGGTGACTGACTCTAGACTTAGAGGTTTGTGTCAGTCGTCACCTAAAAGAGCATTGTCTGTGAAAAATAGTTTATTTAAAGCAAATAAAAAGCAAAAGAGATTCAATAAAAATGAACAAAAAAAATCTATTTTTGATATAATTAAGGTCTAATTAAATTAGTTTTATATCTAATTTATCACTTGATTTTATGTCAGTTATTTTATTATTTATTTTTTTATTATAAAATATTTTGTCATACAATTCATTTAAAATATTTAATTAATTTGTGTAATTAATGTGTAAACAATAAAATATGAGAATTTAGTGTATATTATGAATTTAATGCTTATTTGTTTGACTGTTTGTTGATAAATGAAATCATTGTATTAACAAATTGTTGACTTTTTGATGGATGAAGAGATAGCTGATGGAAGTGTTTTTCAAATTTAAAGGTTGAGTTGGGAAACGATTCCTTTAGTTTGCTATAATTATTTGCAGTCATTGAGCTATGTTTTCCGTTAACTATCCACACATTACCCGAGTATTTATTGTCATAAATGTTTAACCGGTCAATACCTTTGATAAGCAATTGGCGGATAACCGGCAAATTGAATGTCCATTTGACGTAACCATTCGGCTGTTTCTTAAGATTCATTAATATATGCATCAAAAGTGTTTTATCCCGAAAATATCGACTCAAGTTTTCTTTGACAATAAGTCTAGCATACGATACGTTTATATTGTTGGGAAGCGCTGACACTATATAATACATGCGGTCAACCACTCGGGAACCAAACAAAATTTGATCCACAGGTGTCATATCAAATGCAATCACTTTGTCTACACGATTGCCAAACAGTAAACTCATGCGAAGCATAGCCAGACCGCCCACTCCATGACCGGCCAACACAGCCCTATCAATCTTAAATTCATCCATAAAATCGCGAACATCTTTGGCTATAAAGTTGATATCCGAGTGGTCAACACCAGAGTGAACACTTTCGCCGTGATTTCTCATATCCAACAAATATATTGTACGTCCGGTTTTCTCAGCCAAAGTTTTGACAATTGTTTGATACATGTCTTTACTGGTGAACATGTGGTGATACATCAGAATCGGAATCTCTTTATCTTTACTTAAATACTTTGGATCTAATGAATAGTAAGATAATGAAGTCTTTGATTTGTCTTGAGAAAGACTATTAGTTGAATTGCTTTTATTATTTTGTGATTTTTTGCCCCAGAATTTAAAGTGTCGACAACTGAATGTGTTTAATGAAAATGTTGTCAACTTATAAGATCTAAACATTTTAATTAAATTAAACAATTTATAAATTAGTATTTGATGTCAAAATTAGAAAATAATAATAAAATTAAGAAACTAAACGACAAATTCAAGTGAATACTAAAAATTGAAAAATAATTAATATATTCTATAGTTTGTATGTTTTCTCGAGAATTTTGGTTACGAAAGTCTATAGTTGTGTTCAATTTTGTGGTCACGAGTTAATTAACAACACTTTTAATTGTATTACAATAGGTAGTAAAGCAATACGTACTGTAGATAAAAATAACAATAGTTATTATACAGTAATTATATGAGGTTACGGTAGTTGAGGTTATTAAAAAATATTTACCTATAGTTATGTTTATAAAAAAAGATTATTTTATTAGTAAATTGTAAAGAAATTAGATATAGAGTTGAAATGTTAGATAATATTACCAAGACACTTTTTTTAAATTTCTAACCCACTTACTCACTCACATCCATTTACTCAATCAATCATTTACTAATTCACTACAATTTACAAATCCTCAAAAAGTTTTTGAAAAAATACAGATTAGATGATTGCCTTAAAATTATTTTAAATATTACTGTAATTAAGGTTCAATAAATAATATATGTACAATATATGTATAAGTAATTTTATGTTTTATTAAAATTAATTAATTTTTATAATTTCAACGTTAGTATAAGCCTCAAGTGAATTATTATAAAGTTTGGCATCAATCGGATCGACTCTAATTCGCGTCAATTTATTTTTGGATATTCTTCCGGTGTTAATGACCACCGAATGCGATATATTCTATAAAAAACATTAAATTACTAAATATAATTTAACGGAAAATAATAATAAACCAAATGACAAACCTTAACAAATTCTCTGAGATCAGATGGCAATAAAATTATGTGTGGGTTAACCGGTAGTCTCAAAAAGTCATATTTAGTAAACTCTAGATTTACTTCAGGATTGGGTGGAAATATGGGATAAAAACTTTTCTGATTTATTATATGTTTGCAAAGTCTGGACAATCTATCAGTGTTTTGGCCGCTAATTAAAAAAAATAATAATAAAATTAGTAATAAAATAAGTATACAAAAAATTGTAACAAAAATATTTACGCAGAAATTTCTTCTTTGCTTAAATGAAGCAAAACATCAGTAGAAGTCATGGCAATAATAAGTCCACTGATGTTAAGTATACATGGATTTGAAAAATAATGTATTTTATTAGACTTGAAAGCCTTTGCTGTGGAAAAGCAATCAAAAGCTGCCGACGGAAATAAATTAAACATATTTAGATCTCTTGTCGACGGAATAACAATGGCTTCCGTCTTAATATCCATTAATTCTTGAGATATATACGTCATTTGATTATAAAAGATATGATCGACTCTCTCTTCTGTTGTCAACAATTTTTCATTCATAGAATCAACAAATGGTCCCAAAAGTATACAAAAGTCAGGTTCATATTTCTTCACATAATCCATGAATGTCTTGAGAGGTTTGAAATCAATTGTTTGGTTAGTATTGAAAGGCCCGGTGGCAACAACTATTGTCACTGGCTGTTGAAAAGTAGGCGCAAGAGTAGGATATTCAAGAATTTGATTGAAGTCAATGATTTCCTGTACAATCAACGACTTTCCCGATTCATTGATCGCTTTACAGGCCATCACTTGTCCGGCAAATAGCGAGTAATTACTTAAACGACTTAAATCTAAATCAATAGACTCCGAGTTTGTTAAATAACGCGATCCTTCAAATCTAATTAAATTATTGTTGAGTTTATTTTGCGTGCAATCATAACAAACTCTTCCGATATAATAAGCTTCAGAAGGACTCTGAACTGAGAAGTGATTCCACGATTCAATGTCCAATTTTTGACGCAATTGTTCGGAAAATTCATCAATTAAATCGTTTAATATTTCATTGGTTTCTTTAATCTTTAGTGACATAAATTTAAATCCTTCCATTAAACTAATGGATCTGTCATACACTTCAACATTATGTTTGATATTAGTATTAATTCTCCATTCATTGTCTGAATAAGAGTTCCCAAAATAACACAAAGTATTGGATTTGATTCCTTCATTAATTCTAATATAAAAATAATAATTATTATAAAATTTAATAAAATTTAATAAATATTACTTAAGAGATGAATTAATAGAGTCATCAATGTTTAAAGCAGGTGTAGTCATAGCGCTTACATCCATATTAACAAAAGACCTATTGATAACTTTTTCTGGTGTCTTAAACACTTCCACTACACTATCTTGAGAGTCAACACACAAATCTATCATTTCTTTGTTAACATTATCTTTAATAATAGTGATATCATCATCATCTTTGTTGTTATCGTCGATCGCTATTTCAATCTACCGGTAATTATAATATATATATAAATATTTTATAGTAAAAACTATTTTTAGTAATTATAAAATACTTTTGTCGTCAATACGGGCACTGATTCTGTAGTCATCTCATTGAACAACATTTTAAAGCTTGAATTAAACGGAGATTTAGTTGTCATTGAATTTCTCGAACGATTCAACTTTTCTGACATTGCTTTTGATTTCTTGTACTCATTGATGGCTTTCTTGTCTAAGTAGTCCAGTTGGAAGTCATCGATCACTTCCAATGTCAAAGGTTTGTGACCTTTGATAAGAAAAGCCAAAAGTTGTGCACAAAGAGTCTGTTCATCGATATCGTGGATAACACACAAGTCTTTCACTATAAATATATTATTAATTAACATTTGAAACCAAATTGTCGGACAAATCATTTAAAAACCAAAATCAATAAAAAACTTACATTTATTGATAACATTGTCATCAATGGTATTACAAAAACCGGATAACTCTTCCCGTAGTTTTTGATCGCAAATCAAAGTAGTCATCGTTGGTATTGTTTATGTTATAAAATGTAATCAATAGATGAAATATAATGAATTAACTCTTTAAACAAAACTCTTGATGAAGATGTAAGACAAATGACAAACAAACGGACAAAACAACAAAAGTTTGCGCCAAATGTTGTCATCACGTGATCATCACATGTGGTCGTCATTGACAACAACGACAACAAACGTCACGTGACTTCCTTTTGTAGTCGTTTTCCGTTTAAGTCAAACGTGTCGTTGATTTAAGACTTTAATTGTCACTGTTTTTGGTGAGTTTATGGACTAATTAATTGATAAATTTAAACAATTTATTAATTAATTGTTATTATATTAAACTATTAATTATTGAATTCAATGTGAATGACACTACAAATGATGTTATTTTTATTGGACACTATAGTTGTTGCTGAAGACTCAATAAGTATCAGAAGCAATGCCCAAACAAATCAAAGAGATTAAGGACTTCCTTCTGACGGCCCGAAGAAAAGACGCAAAGTCTGTGAAGATAAAGAAAAACAAAGACAACGTTAAGTTCAAAGTGCGGTGCAGTCGTTATCTCTTCACTTTAGTCATTCAGGACAGAGAAAAGGCAGAGAAACTGAAGCAATCGTTACCACCGGGACTTCAGGTCAAAGAACTAAAGTGATGACACATTTTGATTGTATTTAACACATTGTATTGAATTCAAATTTTTTGTTAAAACATTTTAATGATTAAATAAAGTGAACATTTAATGATTAACTATTAAACACAATTATGAGTTGCAATTCATTAATGAAAAATCGCCAAATTATTGGCCAAAGTGTTGTGTTAGTGCCCTATCGGGAACTACACGTCCCGAAGTATAACCAATGGATGAAAGATCCGAACTTACAATACCTGACCGGTTCAGAGCCATTAACACTTGAAGAAGAGTTAGAAATGATGGACAGCTGGAACTCTGACGAAAATAAGTGTACATTCATTATATTAGAAAAAAATCTTTTCCAACCCATCGGAGATCAGATTAAGTCAATGATTGGTGACGTAAACTTATTTTTCGATACGACTAATAATGAAGAAAAGACGGCAGAAATTGAAATAATGATCGCCGAAGAGTCATATCGTGGTAAAGGTAGAGGTAAAGAGACCGTACTCTTGATGTTACGATTTGCTATACAAGTGATTGGAGTGAAGATTTTTGTAGCAAAAATCAAATACAATAACAAGAGTTCACAAAATATGTTCATTAAAATAGGATTTAATGAACGCTCCAGAAGTGATGTTTTCGAAGAAATCACTTATGATTTGACAGTCAATGACATGTGGTTCGAGTCTATCGTTAAAAACAACACAAATTGTATTCAATATATTTTACTCTGAATTAATGCTATAATTATTTAACTGATTAAATATAAAAACAAATAATATAATCATTAATAAAATAAATTTATTTTAACATAAAATACAGAAAAAAATAGAAAACATTACAGTAATTGCTTTAATAATTTACAAGAGTTGCAAACGGATCGCATAATAAATTTGTTAATAAAATTTATTCCTTATTTTTGATCTTTAATTTACAAATATTTTTAATGATTGATTAATTACAACAAAAATATTGAAAATTGTTTCAATCATTAGAGGAATGTTTGTCCCAATTGTTATGTTTCCACTTCATTACGAATATTGGGATTAAAGCGCGGATCCAGAAGAGGATCGTTGTCAGCACTTTCGCGACCAAACTTTAAGAAATAATGAACTAAAGTACAAATAACTAAAAATACTATAATTGCTACTATTATTAGCCGTTTTTGAGTCAAAACAGTTTGACGTCGATTGCCGATAGGTGTGTGTAATCTGTGGTCAGATTTGAGATAATTAGAAAATTCGTTATTAAATCTAATTATCAGTAATTTTCAAATATTCGTTGTGTAGAAAACATACCGAAGCCATCTGGAGATGAACTCGATGGGCGACTTTTGTCGATATTTGTCTTCATCGATGTCCAACAATGATTTTCTGGATCCATTATCGTATTTGTTTCTAGTGGTCGACATACCAAACGAGTCATTGTGTGGTGTATTATAATTGGACACATTGTTAATATAAATGGGAACATTAGCCGAACTATTGTTGGGATTGTGATGAATCACTTGTGGCACCGATGGTGACGATGAGTCCATCGATACATTGGACAGTGAACTTTGATTAAGATCTTGAAATGAATGGTCATTTGACTCGATAACAGGCATTCCTAACCCAACTCTCGCCCAACTTTCGTCAGACAAGAGTTTGCGAAACAGATTAATCACTGGACTGTTGGCATTACTTGTCGGGAACATCGGCTTCTGACACGTGGGACAGGTATAGCCGGCCGGTGCCGTGTTTGACGGCAATTGATTTGCGTAACCATTCAGACAATTCAAGTGATATATATCTATAAAATTATAAAACACTAGTTATAGTATTAAACGTAAAAATGTCTTAAAAATCACTTACGATAACATGTAAGACGAATGGTCTGTTCCGATGATAATTGTTGATCACAAAGAAGACAATTAGGGCTATGATTGCTGTCTTCCAACCATTGAATATATGGGGCGACAAAACACTATAAATTGTAGACAAAGACATTAATTAACGATTGAAAAGAAATGATTTTACCGAAAGATCTGATGACAAATGACAACAAGTCTTACCTTTTGATGAGATGTTGTCATACAATACTCGCAGACATTGACTTTACAGTTAAAGCAGAACTGATTCGTCACTTTCTTTTTGGGACATTTGCATAAACCCATTGATTATAGTGACCACCGATGACACCAATTTGAATGAACCAAATAATAGGACACCAATGGTATGATCACTATTAAAGACTAGTCAATTGACAGTAAACTCAGTGAACAACTCATCACAACAACAGTTGACAGCAAACAGTGTTTTGCAATACATTTGAATGTTTGCCACAAATGACGATCACTTCATCTCTTGAAATGGATTTGTGTTTACAAAACATTTACCATAACTAACACAACAACTGAAGAGTTTGTTATCATATAACTGATTGTATAATCAGTTTATGTCACTTAAGATTATCATTGAAGACGACATCAAAGCTGACCATTCATTTAGTCATGTCTTTAGTGGCGTACGAAGCGAGTGATGACGAGTCGATACATGAAGACGATTATGAAGACAAAAATACTTCAAAAGTTACGGTCAATCAATCAAATAGTGTTAACTCTTTCAATGAAGAACTAGTGGAAGACAACCACAAGATATCGGGTCTATTCACTAAACTTCCGGCGCCGAAGACTGTGTCGTCCACTTCATTACCAAACTCATCGCTCAGTGATATTGTCGTCAATAAGAAGACATCTGGAGGTCCCATAAAAATCACTGCACCATCGCTGAAGTATTACACAGAAGATAGTGATTCTGATGAAGAAAGAAAAGCTAAACGTTTTAAGGGTTCGGCCAAAGGTACAGGTCTTACATCTCTTCTACCAAAACCTAAAGGTGTAAATCAAAAGGTCACAAATACTTCATTAATACCACAATCACTGACACGATCTAAACGAAATACCACTCCTTCAGCACCCAAACCAACTCAAACAGCCATTACTGAGAAAATGAATTACTTTTTTGATGATAACGAAAAAAGCTATGATTTAACTCATCATCAGTTAAGTGATAAAGATTACGGACCTCAACCTCAACCTCAACCTCAACCACAATCAATAATTAATGAAACAAATGATTACTCGACATCACAATCATCTTCTTTATCCACTTCCACAACAAGTGGTCAATCAGTAAACAACGACATGGCTTACAAGCGAATGATAGCTTCTAAGTTTGGTAACGAAGACGCAGCAGAAAATATAAAGATTGTAGACATTAATGTATCGCAACATTTGAGTCATTCAAAAGACTGGCTCAAGACTATAACAGAAGAGAAAGAAGAAGAGTATACAGGAGTACAGCCGACATCAACAGCCAAACGAAAACATCAAATCACATATTTAGCTCTTCAGGCAAAACAACGAGAAGTTGAACTCAAGAATCAATGGGCACTAAATAAGGCCACGAAATCACAGTCGCGCGCGAAATACGGCTTTTAATGATTCATATGATTGACTTATTTTGCATTTACTCTATTAATTAAATCATTTACTGACAATCTTTAATTAAAATGAGTTAACAGTTAAAAAAATCTAATCATAAATCATTAATAAATTATAAATAAATTTGAATTATTGAGTAAAACAATGTAATAACTTTATATGTAAAACATTGAAACTTAGATTTGCATTTAAACACACGGAATGACAGAATTGCATTCATAATAATGTATTCAATAGGACATCAAATGCCAAATACAAGATCCATGTCTTAAGATTTAATTGTTTTTCTCAATTTTCTTATATAATAACTAAAAGTAATGTATTTTATACTATAAAATGTCTATATCGGGATCGGACTGGGATTGAGCATACAGTGTGTTAATGTGGACACAGGTATGTTATGAAGTCATACGAATGGACAGACTTATAAATATTAGTTGTTTCCAAAATAAGGTCCAATTTGTACTGCATTTGTCTAATTTGTCATTTATTATATATTATGTATCAGAAATTGTATATTGTATTAAACAATAATTTAAATAAAAATAATACTATGTGTAAAACTTAAAATTGTTAGGATTAATGATTATTGAATTAGTATTAATCAATAAAAACTTTTAATTAATACTTTTATGTGTGTTTCTGGTCTGACTATTAATGTAAAAATCAATTCAGATTTAAATTATTTTATAATATGATAATAAATTTTTTTTTATATTTTCCATAATTTTTGTTATTTTATATTTTTTAAATTTTATTTTTGGATTATAATTATTGTAACAAATATTTATATTATTTATAACACATAAATAGCAATATAAAATAAATATTTATATATTTTTTTGTATAATAACTATTATAATGCGGTATAATTATACAGTATAAATAAAAACATAAGATTTTATAGTATAACAGTTTCACATAAAATTGCTGTAACTTTAAATATTTATAGACTAATAATAATTTTATTTAAAACTTACAAATGACTAACAGTTTTTCGGTGACAATATGTCACACATTATTGTGAAACACTCGAGTGTTTTTGGTCTCAATCTGAGACCATTATCAACGAGTCCGACATTTTTTAGACTACTTTTTCTATATATATATATAAAACTACATAATATTTGTAAAAACTGTATACTTTTTACTTTATGCTACATATTAATATTAATACTGTACTGTACATGAATTTTGCATTATTACTCTGATTTATTTAAGTAAAAATAAAAATATTCACTTTAATATTTACTGACATTTAAATGACAAATGAAACAAACATGAAAGTTATTAATATTAAAATTATTTTCAAATATAAGCACAAAAAATAAAATAAAAGGTTATTATAAGAAACAAAAGACAATTATTAATTGATAGCTTTGAGCGATATTTTTAGTGAAAGAATGGCAAAAATACTTTATATAACTAATAAAATTTTACTCTTTTAAAAAAATCGTTTATTCAGTCAAATATATTTTATTACGTAAAACATAATAATAATGAATATAATTTTACGATTAAATAAACTTCAAAAATTAAGTATCATATAATATATTTTGTTATTTAATGTAAAAAATTAAGTTACAGTAAAATACAAATGATTGTATTGTATAATAAATATAATGTATAGTATTTATTAAAATTATTCTAATTCTTATATATTTATTTATCGGTAAAATGAATAACTTAATTATAATTTGATTAAAAATAATATTAGATTTAAATATTATACAATGTATTATCAAAGTATAATTTGTAAATACTGTGAAACAGTACTGTATTATATTAGTTGTAAATTTATTATAACAATACTACTGTACAGTATTTATAAAAATAATTGAAACTATTGAATATGAATGACTAATTTTAATAATCTTGACAACAAAAAAGTAATCAAAATGAAATATTATGTCTATTTGGAAGCAAATAAATAATTATATAATATTACAATTAAATATTATATCTCATATTTTATCAATACTTTGTAATAAAGTGTACTATTAAGTAATATTAAACAGTAAAATTTAACACATTTTATATTATTTGTTAATATCTCGTTGTATTAATATTATTGCAGAAAAAATATATTAAAATTTAAAAATGCTTTTTTGTCAGTATTTAATAAAATAAAATTGTTCTTAAATAACGAAATATGTTAATCTATAATTTATTAATTAATTTCACAAAATATTGAATACATTACAAAAGTGTAATTACAATTTAATAACACTAATTACATAAATAATTAAATGATTTTTAATTATTAATATCATAAATATATACATTAATATACTATTAAATGATAAACTATTAGTTTATAATTAATGTCTGAAACAGAGAGGGAGAGAATTAGTTATAAAATAATTGTTTAGAACTGTCGATGAAATTCAAATGATAGTTATGGTAGTGATTGTAGTGATTGTTATAAGTGATACATAAAAGGTAAGAGAGTGAGAGCTTTTAAACATTGATAGATAGGTATTGTATTAAATAGTCGAATCAAGTCTAACCCGACTTCAAAATACAGCTCTCTTTTCTCTGATAGTCTGTATGAGGTATGACGTCGTCCTACGAGTGCCAGTGCCACTACAAGTGCCACTACCAGTGCCCAAATTGTAGTCCACATTCCTTACATAGTTTAAGCCACAGGGTGCAGCATTACCTGCCCTTACCTGTATTGCCAACAGCGCGGTACTATTGGACCGAATGGTGAGCTACACTGCCTATACCTGTGGAGATGCTTTTACCTATGGCTCCCCTACCTTAGCGCTGTAATCCCAGGCCTATGTGTTGTGTGCTTCTCTAATAACAATATTTTTTGATGAGCTATATCTCGTTCTTTGTTGTGTCCCTTAACTAGTTGTCTGACATTTAATATTTAGTGTGTTTAGTATATCAGTGATTATTATAGTTATTTGCACTTTCGTAGTATACAATCATCAAAAAAACCAAGGATGTGACTCAAATAATACCTGTCCTCATCAGCCCATACTAAACATTATTAATAATGTCTTTGACGACAAAAACTAAGCAATGGATTAACTACTCATTTGCCACTTCTATAAGACTTTTGATGTTTTTAATAAATATTTGATAAAAAACGAGTCATTAAATCCAAATGCCTTTTCTTAATCGTAATTGTCTTTGAAAACTAACTAAATTTCTAATATTTATGTCAATTTAATTTAGTTTTTATACATAAGTTTCAAAAAGTTTAATATCATTTAAAGGATTGACCACAAAGTTATTAAGAGATATGTGTTGAATATAATCATAAGTATATGATGTGTTCAGAAACTTTAATACAAGACTATCACAATCGTGGTAGTCATGTCCCAATCCAACTGCAGAGTAACCATCTTCCGGGTCGATCATCAGTGATGGTGACAGGTGTTTACAACGACAACTGTCCCGTAAATAATATGAATACATTAACCGGCGAATCCAACATTTATATGGAGCCGTCATTAACTAATTGTAATTATCAGACAACACATCCGGACAATTACTATAACTCGTTGACATCACATCGTAGTAATTGTCAGTCACCACAACAAAACCACAATCAACTAAGCGATGTGTTCAATACTATTGGTCCCAATACATCGGTGCCATCGTCACCATTGTCAACATTATTGCCAACAACTCCGTTATCAACAACTATGCCATCACTGCCGCCATATGCAACCGACTATTTATCATCCAATTCACATCAACATCACAACAGTCATACTCCTAATGACCAACAAATACCTCAGCAATACTTTCACGATCATCTCATCCATCAGTCTCAAGAGTTTTTGCCATTATGTGATTTGCTTTTTAATATTATCTCATTGGCTGCATATTTCTGTGATGTCCTCTTTGACTCTATTACTGCATACATACTATTTCTGGAGCAGGACTTCCTTTGGTTATTCATTACAGTCACACTCATCTTATTCTCAGCTCTGGTCAGCCAAATATTGTCCTATCAGTGGTATTGGCGTAAAAGCAAAGACAGAATGTGTGACCAATGCGCTGACTGTCAAAGTGTTAGTGTACTATCCGTTCATATCTTATTATGTGGAGTATTGTGGCGTTATTTTAAGCTCTTCATTCCTGTCGACTTGTCGTCTGTGAAGAACGAGGTCCGGGATCTGTGTCTTCTTCGTATGGTTCATGCATTTTGTTCGGCCGCACCAATGCTAACTATACAAGTATTTGATTGTCATCTTAATTATACTATTAATCATAATATTATATTAGATTTATTAATAATTTTATTATTATATAATCATATTTAGGTATATCTATTATGGAACCGGCCATCGATGGACATACAGAATCGCGATTTAACTTTTGTATCAATATTTTTATCACTATTTAGTGTTTGTTGGGCATTGGCATCCTTTAGTAAGAACGTGCGCTCCCATAACATCCATAAGCTGGTGCTCACGTGGCTCGGAGTCATCTTTCAGTTTTTTTGGCGTTTGGGGTTTGTGTCCAACTATTTCAATATATATTTGTATTTTATTATAACACTATTTATATTATATTTACTTTTTTCTTGTTGTCTCTCTTTATATCTGTTCATAATATATAATATCATTTCATATTTATTTGTCATTTCAGATTAATATTTGTTTTGTTTAATGCAATGATATAATAATATCCATCCATTAGATTCACATATGTTTGACAAACTGATAAACTCTATCGTTTCCCAAACCTATTGAGAATAGCCGTCAAAATTTCTATACTTTTAGTCCAAAATAATGACACGAAATGCTTTTGTTTCATAACTATATTGAGTCAAATAAAACATTGTTTTATAGTATATCATACTATCATATAAATTTATATCTCGTATAACAAGTCATGAAAATTCAAACAAAAAATGTTATAATCTTATACTACTTTAATATCTTATAGTACATGTATTAGGATATTAATGGCAAATAATAATAAGATTTAATGCATAATTCATACTTATATTAATAATATAAAAACAATTTTATTAATTATAATATGATACAATTAATAATATCAATTAAGTGAACTAAAAATATATTTCATATTAATGTAAGTTTAATCATAATATGAGCTCATTTAGTCACAGCAATAGTTTATTTAATAAAAAAAAATGAGAAAACACTCAAATCACTGATACAGTAGTGAAGTGATTGTTACTGTAGTAGCAGTGAAAATAATGGACCGAAAGAAAGTCGATATATTTTTATGTCAAGAAAATAAGTTTTTGACTTTTAATAGAAACCAACTTTTTATTATTATTATATATATATATATATGGAATATATTTGTGGCATATTTTTTAGCAAAAAAGAAAATGCATGACTGCTTCCAAACTAAAGATGTATTTCAAAGATATTTCATATTTTAATCTATTGCTACCAACTTTTGACATACATTTTTATTTGATAATACTTTTATATGTATTGTTGCGTTTAAAAAATTCAAGTATTGCTTATTTTTAATTCAATCATTGATTTTTATTTAAATATTACATCTAAAAATTGTTTATTAAATATAATAAAAAGAGCTTTTATATTGATTTCGTTATCTCTGTAAAGCAGTATAAATATATAGTAAAAGACAAATACAAATATTTATTAACATATACTGTACTTTAAGTTATTGAATATATTTCTAATAAGTTATTTGACATATTTTAATTGTGCTTAATATGCTGCAAATTATCATTATAATAAATTTTGTTTAAAATTGAAATACATTTAATGAATGCTTGAATTGATTTTAAATATTGAAATGACAATGTATTGCATTCATTTGAAAACATTTAAATACTACAGTATATAATGTATTATATAATTATATGATTTTATAATATATTTTTTATTTGTTTTCTAAAGTTGTAAAATTTGCTTTTTAGTTAAATTTATAGTTAATTTTAGTAAACCATTTTATAAGCTAAACCAATAATAAAATCTAAGATTAGTAAATTAAATTGTAAACAAAAATTTAGTTTAATATTTTCTCAAATTTAATATCAAAGAATTATTTAAAAAAATAAAGTATAATCTTTATATTTCATTTTATGTAAATAATGCTTTATTAAAAAATAGTTTTAAAAACTAAATTAAATTTTGATGGATAACTAAAACAGTTCTGTTTTTAACCTTTGATTAATATCAACATAATTTAGACAAATATTATTTATAAGTATTTTATATAAGCAAACATTTTTCTGACATTTACTTTTAATGCAAGTTTATTAAGAGAAAATTGAATGCCATTCGCACACAAAACACATAAAAGAGATGCATTAATAACTATAGAATTCAATATAACTCAAAAAACTTTTTTAAATATGCTTTTATATGCACTTTGTATTTTGATTTATTTAATTTAATAAATTTCTTTAATTATTATCGTAGAAATTTATTTTTAGTTAATATAAATAAAATGTTTTACAATATTATTATTATTTAAAAAAATATAGGACTATTGGTTCGCGAGTAATAGCTCTGACCATTTATGCCACTGTTTATAGCTATTGGATATTTGCAGTGATTATTCTCCACTGGTTTTCAATGTTTTTATGGCTTTTATCGCCGAAGAATCTGTTTTACGGCGAAAAGATGTCATCCTTTAAAAGACTCGGTTATACATCACTGATAGCATGGGTTTACATATTTTGTTACATTAATATGCAAGAGGTATGTGATTTGATATACAGTACAATAATAGTGATAAATATAATAATTTTTATGCAAAACAAATGTTTAATTAATTAATTTTATAAATAAATATTTTTAGGACAACTCTCAGAACCGAATGATTGCTTTTTACTCCATAATGTTTTTGGAAAATAGTCTACTATTAGGCATCTCTTTGTTTTTGAGTCCAGACTCAGCCCTAATCACTTCATGGCTTCAGGAGATGTCATTTGCAGTTGGTTTGGGAGGTTTTGCTGTCGGAATGCTTTTTATGATTATTTATTACAAATTCTTTCACATAAGACATTTGAAACATACACTACTTGTTTCTAATTATGACATAAACATTGAATACCAGTCCAACCATTGTCCAGAACACGGAGATCAACTATACGGCAATAATATAGGAGTTTCTGAGACACGATTAAATCAATTGTCCGGTGGAAATAAATTACAATTTCCTCTTATGAACCACCCGTCCAATAGTGTAATGAGTGGTATTCCCGGAGTATTTAATTGTCGTCTAAATCCAGCCTTAAAGCGTAAAAAGAAGAAGCCGTCGACATTTATCCCACCACCGCATCCACACATCACTGCTGCCAATACGCACAGCGGTATAACATCACCGATCATTACATCCAATAATTTGGGAAACGGTCAAAACAGCAAAAACTTAACAAAAACAACAAAAGCACCGCCACTTCCCAGTCCATCAACATTCTGGAAAAAGTCTGAAGTGGCCAATGGTTTTCTTCAATCAAAGTCCATATCTCCAGCTATTGCTTCATCACCACTAACATTATCAACGAAGCATCCCTTTAGTGCATCAATAGCTCCATCACCTGTTGTTAACTTTACCACAGATCTAAATCAACAATTATTGTCGACCACTATTAAGCCTACAGTAAATAAGCCACAAATGGTTCCTAACATACCTCCTAATACAACACCAACACCTGTTCCATCACAAAGAAAGTCAAATATCAATAATAATTGCAACGGAAAATTAGCCAAACCTAAAGCACAAGCGGCTAACACTGTGTCCAAAGTTAATATACAACAAAAACTTGAAGAGAAAAAACAGCAACAGTTTATGCAATTGAGAAAAATTGAAGAAGAAATCAAACAGGGAATCATTTCAAAGCCACATATCATTGAAAGAATTAAATCACCAAAACTTATACAGAAAACAGCGCCGCAAACCAAAAGGCAACCCTATATTATGGGCACTTCCAGACCAACTGCCAGTAATCATACATTTGCTCCCCTAAGCAATCGTGGCATTCATTACTATTATCATCCCGTTTATCGGCGACTAAAGCTAAGGTCTCAAACACCAGAAGTGCTTTTAGAGCCACACTATTTAGACAATAGTCGTATTTTTTATGACTATCCATCCTGTGTTTTACCACCGATTCACTCCAGACTTCTCAAAGTACCGCTTGAAAACTCGGCCGAAGAAGAAGAGGAAGCCGAAGAAGAAGTGAATAATCAAAGAAATGATAATAAAGTTGAGACAAATAACCGAATAATTTCTAATAATATACAAAACTTTAAGAATTTGTCCAACAAAGACAATGATATGAAAATGTTTAATAATAGTGACAATAATCAAGTGATTAATAGGATTACATCAGACATTGATAGTCATATGTCATTACCCCGGTCATACACTTTGCCCCGAGAATTTCAATACGCCCGCGCGGGACATACCGGCGTTAAATCTGTCAAAAGTGCTATCAATAAAATGGCCGATTCTAGTGGCTACTTGAGAACCAGTTCCCGTATTCGGCGACCATTATCTTCAGCAGCGGAACAATACGTCGACACCAATTCAAGCAATGATGGAGACGTTGACTCGGATGTCAATCCCGATGAAGACTATGACATAACTGCTGTTCCAAAGATTATCAGAGGACCGGCTAATCAACTGAGATCTCCTGATCGTAATAACCGAACGCTTAGAGACTATCATCTGATTAAACAAAAACGACAGGAAACGCCTCTCTAATGATATATTTATAAATGTTTTTTTTTATAAATAAACATTTATTTATTTATTTAAAACACAATCTATTATCAATCTATGATATTACAAATTATACTATTTATTATCTACTGTATAATTTTAGTATATTTTACAAATTAATACAAATAAAAACAATTTTTTGTCATTTATTAAACACATTATAATTATAAATAATATAAAGTATTAAATATTTTAATAATTGTAAAATAATTATCTATATTTTTACTATTCTTAATTTTATTTCTAACAATTTTAAATATTATGTTATTATCTAAACATTATTATGTATTTGTGTGCCATTTAATTGTATTATATATTATTAATACTGTATTCAAATTTCATTTAAACAAAGCTTAAATTTCCTAATATCCTATTATTTTTATATTTTATTTAAGATATACTATATTTAGATATATGTACATAAATAATATTATTTTATATATAAGTTGATTATTTATATCTTTAATTGATTATTTTTACATAAAAGATTGATTATATTTCTATAATATTTAATATATGTTTGTACAAAAACTAATTAATAACTAACATTAATAAATAAATTTAATAAAATTTAAGTAAAAAGTGATTATTCAAACCACACAATTTTTAAATATAAATTTATAAATTAAATTACGAAAATATAAATTTTAATTAATAATATAGATCTCATAAGTAAAATAAAACATTTGAAAATCTAGATTATAATTTACATAATAGTAAATAAATAGAAAAATTCAGATTATATATTGTTTATTAAATTCAAAATAATTTTAAATGTAATGTAAATTAAGAATTATAATTAAATATTTGTCAATATTTAAATGATCATGCTAACATTTACCTAAACTAAAAATTTGTCAAACAATAATTTAATAATGTTATGTAATATAATAATTCTTTTAGAAATTTGATTTTTTTGTTTTAAATTATAGATTAAATTTTCGATTTATAAATCACAAAAATTATTGATAATGATTAAAAATTATTATAATTAATAATTATTTTTGGGAAATTTCTCAAATTTTTTTTATTCACAATTTATATTCGGTACTTTTCAAAATAATAATTATTAAATTATTTATTAAAACAATTATGGTTAAAATTAAAAATTATATTCTAAAACACGTTAAATTTAAATTTTAGACGTGTTGTTAATTACTATTGCTATTTAATTACTAAATGTAAATTATATCAAATTATATCATATAGCTTATAAAAATGTTTTTTTAAATTTATAAATTAATTAATTGCAATTTTTTGTTTCTAAATAACTAAATATAAATTATAATCCATGTTTACAAAATAATATATATCTTATTATAATTTTAAAAATTCTAGTTTTAACAAAAAATAATTAATGAGAAAATATAAATTTCTAATAGTTATTATGATATACAGTACCGGTATATCGGAAGTGTTAATCTATAATATCAGATCATCAGAAACTATCAAAAATATTAGCAATTTATCACCAAAATTGTTTGCTTGACTGACATAAATATATACTGTACCTATATATATATATATATATATATTCTATATGTATATATAAAAATTATATACATATATATATATATACTATTTACAGAAATAATACAAAATGTCTAAATTGGTCAAAATCGTTAAAATCAATTTATCGTTTTTCAACTTTATTTTATATCTTACATTTAGAGTTGAGTGTAAATATTTGATTTTTTAGTGAATTATATTATATACTATATGAGAAATTTCTCAAATTTTTTTATTCACAATTTATAATATGATTTATTATTATACAAATTTATATACTTTTAAAAATAATAATTATATTTTACTATTTTATAAATATTTGTAAATTTATATCACAATCATTATCAATTATCTCAAATACAACTTTTTACAATTTATTTCTTCATTTAGTAAATAACTACAGACAAAAACTCAAAGAATAAAAATTTATTTTATTCAAACATAAACTATATTTTTATATATTGCACTTAAGGGTCTGTTTTTAGTCAAATTGTTTGTCATTTTATCTCATATAATATTCATCAAAAATTTTTAAAAATATAAAACTCTGTTCAAAAAATCTATATATTTTAGTTGATTGAAAACAAATAGTGATTTTTGGGCACACATTCACTACAAATGATATAATTTATTATTATTATATATAATAAGATATAAGAAAAATAGATTTTTGTAGTTTTAATTTCCAAATGGATTGCATTGAAGTCGATATTTCTTTTACTTTACTTTTAAAGGTTTTTCAGTAATTCGTTTCAAACGAACTGCAGTATTGAACTGCAAATGCCGTCAATTTGTTTTATTTTGACTCAAATACTCACTTCTCAATCAACTCTCTCTCTCTCTCTCTCTCTCTCTCTCTCCTTATATATCAATCTTTACAATCGTTTAAAATTTATATGTATTTCTTTTTCTGTCTGATTGTCAATCAATAGTTTTTCATGGATTTGTTGCCTCTTTTTCACAGATACTTCACTTCACTATAGATTTATTTGTTTTATTCATAAAAGCCATCAATGATTCAATTGAATATAATATACTGTATAATCAATACATTTATAATACTATAAAATAAATTTTAAAAACAAACCATTGAATTTTGATTATTGAGTTATCAAATGACAAATAATATTTTATTTGTAATATATTTAGTTTATTAAATAATAATTATTGATAAGTCAAAATTAATAGTTTTTAATAATTTAAGAAAATATTCCAAATAATTAAGAAATTTATTGTGAATATTTTCTTGGAAATTTTCTCTCATTGAAATGGGAATATTCGAGAATATAGGGAATTTTTAGGGAATTTTCACTTTAACCCCCTCCTGGATTTTTATATTTTGAAACATTGATTTTTAAAAATGCAATAAAAGGTACATCCCATCACAAGCCCCAAGATTTTTTTTTGAGATTTTTTCCATTTTGCCTCACTTTATATCCCATAAAAAACCAATACCTTGTTTAACCCTGATATATATATATATATATATATATATATATATATATAATATTAAGGATTTTATTATCTGAAATGTTTACTGTGTTATTATCACAAAACTGAAAAATTGGATTATTTTATAAAACTAAATATAATTATTAAAACATTTATAATATAAATAATTTATTATTTTTCTAAAAAATAAAGTATTAACATATTTTGAAAATTATGCCAATTATCGTAAAGTTTGATAAATTACATTAAAAACTTTATGCATTATAGATTCAAAAATGTAATATTATAACAATATATAAACTAAAATTGGATTATTTTTGGAAATAACATAATTATATAAATTAGCAAAAATAATGGTCATATTTGTATTCAGTATAAATAAATATTGTTAACGTATTTATACAGAAAAATTTTACATTAAATTAAAAATGTTATATAAAGTATGTGTTTATTAAACAAAATAATATAATATAAAAAATATATAATTTTATAGCATTATATTGACTAATCGGATCACAAAATAAAGCATTTGTATTTTCCACATGAAAAATTGGTATCAAAATATTTAGTACACTATTTACAAATATATAGAATATATTGAATGAGTTTTAATACAAAACTTACAAAAATATAATCAGATTTTTGGAAGAAAAATGTATAAAATAAAAAAACTTAATTTAATTTATCATTTTTTTTCAATAAAAATATTTTAAAAAGAAATCTAGAAAATGAAATTTTGTCTCATTTATCGTTACTTTCTGATTTGAAATATTAAATATATACAATAATTTATAATTTGTAATAATAATTTATAATTACTTATAATAAATAAGTAAACAAAATATTGTTATAAAATATAAAGTATTTTCTAAATATTGTCATTAAAACTTTTAATGGACCATATAATTTATAAATACTGGTACACTTAAACAAATAATATACATATAAATTTGTAAATTAATCTAAAAATAAATTAAATTTTGATCCATTAGTAAATCACATTTACTTGAATTTGTTAAAGTAGAAATCAAATAAATTAAAAATAATATTATATAAATTTCAATCACTTAATATTATATCTAAAATATAGATTAATTTTTATAAAAATAAATTAAACATTTTTTTGTCATTTGAAGAATATTAAGTAATAGATAGTAAAGTATAAATTAATTATGTTTATTCATATAATATAAATATTAATTGTATTTTAGAATATTATAATAAAAAATTATATTTAGTTTCATTAAATCTGTTATAATTAGTATTAATAATAGACAATAATTAAAAATCATCGCAAAAATACAATTTAGTTAAAAAACTTAATAAATAAAACAAAAATATATAAAAAATATCATAAATAAATACTTATTAAGTATTTGATATTATCATCACTACAAATGTTTATTTATTTAAAACTAAAATATTATATATAAAGTTATTTGACAGAAGAATGGTAAATGGTTTTTGTTAATATCTTTATAACTAACTGAGCTAGGTTAATATAAATTTTATGAAAAACATGAAATTGTGGAACGGATAACATAATATAGTTATATTAATTATCATTGCGCTTATGGTAGCTCAGCACCAGTATGTGTGATATCTAAAAAATATAAGAGATATCGAAATAAAATCAAAAGTAAATATTAATACATGTAAAATGGCAAAAATAATATCATTATTTTATTATTTAATTATAATTATAAAAATTAATTTTATTACACTTTAGTCACTATAATAAATGAAAATTAACAATATTACAAATTTTAGGTTTTTGTTAACATCTTATTAAAAATTGATTTTTTATAAAATTCTATTCAATTCATATGTAAACTTAAAAATCTGTAACTTTATTGACAAATAAGTCAAAAATTAAAAAAATATTATAATCATAAAACGCAACCATTCCTATCATTTTGCATTTGATTTATTTAAATATCTATAATACTTTCTAGTAATTAAAGTTTTACTTTTTGAGGTATTATTTTTACATTAGTGTATTATTACATTGAAGAGTTTTT